CATCATTGAATTCCGGGTTTTACGCTGTGGATTCTGGATTCCAGATACTGGATTCCAGTCTTTGTCAGTGGACCTTGGAACTCTGGATTCCAATTTTTAGTGGGATTCCGGATTCCAAAGCCCAGGATTCCGTATTACATAAGGCAAATTTGCTCGGATTCCGGATTTCACAAGAAAAAAATTTATCGAAGGAGTTCATGTGTAGCCAAACGATCCACTTCCAGTTGGCCACCTGATCGAGCTGAGTGAAATAATAAAACAACCGATTAAAACATTAAGGGAAGATTTAGACCCCGTTTACACGGGTCCGAGCATATTATTTTAGGGACAAAACCTTGCACGGATTTCACCTTATCGGAAGTACAAATGTGGGTCAAAATTTTTGACTGGTACGGTTGGATTTTTACAGGGACTCGTGTAAACACCTGAACTGTACATGTTATTGCACAGTTTGGGCGGTAAAGGCCTGGAGACTGCAATAGTTACGCGCCATTGATCGAAAAAAGCCATTTTAATGCTGACACCGGCAAAAAGAAATTTGTACGGACTCTTTTAAACAGTGAGCTGTAACAGAATTGGCATGGTTCTGTGCCAAAAATTCGTCCGATCAAAAATTGGTCCAGATCCGACAGATACATGTATACAAAAAGGCACCGATGGACAGACTTGAAGTAGATTAAAACGGATTACAATTTGGCCTAACAGTTTTTCAAAGGTCATCTTTGCTCTTTGTGGTTGTAACCGGATCGGGAAACATATTCGTTTGACAAGAAGTTGTGATTTTGTCATATTGACTGAGTTCTTGTTTTTCGCTTATTTCGAGTTTTATGGCGAACAATGGTAGCAATAAGCAAAACTAAGCAAGACGGACTAAATCGTGCAGGTACCTTTGAGCACGTTTACACTAACGTGTTCTTGTTTGAAAATGCGTCCATCTTTTCCGTTTTGTGCTTGCGTGCACACTAAAATTTGTCAAAAAGGGAAGTTAGTGCAAACAAAGGTTTTTTGAAAACATTCTGTTTTTAAAAATAGAGGTAGCATGAGTGTCAGTAACCAAAAACGAAAGTTTTCGAAAACGCTCATTTTGTTGAGTGCTTGCTGTATCATTTTGATATTATGATGATTAACTGGCTTCAATGCAATCAAAGTTCATTTCAGAGTCATATCGCATTTACGAATGAGACGGCAGAGGCAAGTGAGAAAATAAACACACAGCAACAGCCGGATGGCACAGAAGAGAAAACAAGACCATTCAGGTAACTGACTTAGCGAACTTACCTAAGTTGAGAGCTGGAACAAGTTAAAGAAAAGAAAGAAATCCAGTGTAGGGCTTTGACAACCTAGTTCCCAGGTTCTCTCGCTCGTTAGGGATGGGTAGGAGAGAACCCTGGGAACGAGGTTGGAACTTTGCTTTTATGGTCCATGGTTTAGGTCAGAAGGGAGGGTCCCCAACAAGTTTCTCGGGATCTGAGATTTCCTTCACTTGAAGCTCGGGATTCGGGATTTGAAAGCAAAATCGGGGCGAGTTTCGGGATTTAAAGTATGGTTGGGAGGTGGGATGCCAAAAATAACCCTCGGGATTACGAGATTGCACGAAATTTTGGGTCAGTATTACGGGATTGAAGAACTCTTTTGGTTACCCCGAAAAGGGTTTCCATGCGTCCTCTAGACGTTCACTTTTAGATGAAGTTTAAGGAATACGGTAAATCCCCTATTAAGCCCCCCCCTTTCAAATAAGCCCCCTAACTTTAATAAGCAATCTAGTAAGTAATCTAGTTAGTTATCTAGTTAACATTTTTAAAACTAAGGTTAAGACTTTTTTGTTTCGCATGGCTTTCTGTTAATTGTATCTAATTCAGTTGCTCATTATCTTATATTTAATACGGTGTAATTTAGTTTTTTTTGTTTTGTTTTGTTTTGTTTTTTTTTGTTATGATGTATTTTTAGTTTTTATATGATGTATATAGTATTCTTATTGCTTTTGTGTATAGTTTTTAGATATCTTAGATGTAACGCGCATTTGATCATATTCGAATGTTAATTTGCGCGCTATAAGCAATAAATATTATAAGCGCTCCCTTTTTTCAGGGGAAGAAAGTTAATAAGCCCTCCCCTCTATTAAGCCCCCCCTCCCCCACCCCGCCTCCCCGAAATATTACTTCCTGTGGACTGATCCAGGATGGTTTATTCACCAGCTGGAAGTTCGGATTTGTTTTTGATCCTCGGCTGCCTGACCTCCAACTTCTTGTACTTGAGCTTTTCCACTTTGTACTCTAGTTCTTTATGGAGAACTGATGCCTTCGTTTCTAAATTAAATAAGCCCGCCGGAGAGCTTGAAAGAGGATTTACGGTATTTGTCTAATATCTTAAAAGTTTTATTGGAAAACCTGTCTTTGTGACGTCCAGTTTAAAGATATAGGTTTTCCTCTCGTGCTCGTGCCCGAAACAACGAAGTAAATTCAACGTGTGTTAGTTAAACTCGTGCAATTTTTTGGATCAGTTTAGGTTTTGGGAAACTGCCCACCCACCCCACCCCTAACCCATGTTTCTCACTGACGTGTGACTTAAGGGCAGAAACATGGGTTAGGGGTGGGGTGGGTGGGTAGTGTCACAGAAAGCTAGACTGATCCATTTTTTTTTTCTAAATTTTAGTTCCACTTTTCTCAAGGCAGGGACACTTAAAAGGTGCGTATACGAACGAACAAGAGACAAATTGCACAAGACGTTAACCAGCTGATATAACACGCCCTGCAATTTTCTTCCATAACGTGTTAAAAAACTTTCGCGCAGTCGAGAAACGTCTTGTGCAAGTTGTGACAAAACAAACTGGTTATGAGACAGGCTTAACAAGACTCCAAGTGCTGAAACTGTCCAAATTTGTTTGACCTCGTTTCTTTTAAATGGTTTTGCTCTGTACATACTAAGATATACTCACTGAAAATTTTCCTACGCAGATAAGTTCTAGCCAATCAGAGGAGCAAACGATGTTTTTGAGACACAGGAAAAATAGTTCGTCCAATCGGTATCGCGAACGAGGGTTTTTTTTTTTGGTGCGCGGGAAAAAATGTTCGTCTAATCAAAAGCCACAAAGGGTAGTGAGTTTCGCGCCAAGTTTCCCGCCTTTAATGGGAGTTTGCAACGCCCCCGCTTCGCGGTAAATGAGAAATCGTTATCCATCCCTTTGCGAATAACGGAGTTGCGACTTTTTTTGCAGAAAAATTACTGGGAGTCGTACACAAAATCAGCAAGGAGGAGCAGGAAGACCATTATCACGTTGTTGCGATTGTGATAAGGTACCTAATGTATTTGTAAATTATTATTCAACTTTGCGCTCGGAGATCTTTACACTTTTACTGTAGAAATCGAGGAAAGTCATAGTCGTGTATGACAGTCTCTTTGAAACCAAGAGTTTTGACTTAAAAACGGAGGGGTCGATATTTACTAGAGTCCGAAGAATGATAGACAGGGGAAAGGCAAACAATTTTTTTTTCACCTTCTCTTTTCCCTCAGTGCCTCTCCCATAAACCAAGTATTAACAGGAAAATCCCATCTTAGCCTTTTGAGTAATCCGCAGAAGAAGCTAAGAAGCTCTAAAACCTGGCTAACTTTTCCAACACCTTTAGGGCCTTGAAATGCATTTTTTTATACAACCAAATATTTGCAAAATGTAATTGTATTCCAGTCGAAGAAACTGTTAGGCATGTGGTTGAGTTTAAGTTTATCTAATCCCTAAGATGTAAAAGTGTATCTAGAATAAAACTGGAATATATACTTGGAATTACTTCAACACAACCAAGGTATCTTGACCAAGTAGAAGATCCAATTTTATTTACTACACTTCAGTAAGAAAACGCTCATGAGTAATAGAATTGCTAAGGCAAGACCTAATAACTACTTCTGGCACAGAACAGACATTGAAGATTAATTGATGTCCCGACCGTGGCTGCTGTGTAATAGAAATTTCAATTTTGCTTTGTCTTCATAAGTCGACGTATAAAGGCTCGTATTGTATTTGCTTTGGTTTAGTAACTAAAAGTGGTCTTTGTAGCTTCAGGAAGCTCTTTCTAATGCTGAGAAGAAATTGGAATCCGCGAAAGAGTAAGTGATTTTAAGTTGGTGTTAATTTTTTAAGTCCTTTCCGGTCTCTTCTAACCGTGGCCAAAGTGTAAATTCACAAAAAAAAAAAAATCACGCTTATGTTTTTTGTATCAACTCCAAAAACAAATAACATCTTGTAAAAGTTCCGCCTCTGCCGACGAGGTTTCAGGTAAATGGTAACAACCTATGATTTTGTCATCAAACTCAAAAGTTAGCATGAAAAACCCGTCTCACTGTAACATCGGTCATCGGTCTTGGAGTAAAATGGTTAAATATACTTGAAAACGTTTTTATTATGACATGTCAAAAAGTGATTCTTCCCATCATAATTGCCATTTGTCAGTTTAGGAGGTGCAAGATCAGCTAGCTTTACAAAAATAATGCCGTACTTCCCACTTTTGGTCACCAAATCCTCTCTCAGAAATATTTTGCGATCCGTCTAAGTCCTGGTTAAATTTTCTTGACGCGCCAGAATGTGGTATGCTTGTTGTAGAATACCGTATTTCCTCGAATAAGCGCCCCTCCTCTAATAAGCGCCCCGCCCCGAAAAAGCGCCCATTCCCTAGGCCAAAAGTATCAAACAAGCACCCCCACCCCCATCGAGTAAGCTCCTCGTTCCTGTCCCTCATTACTTTCTTTAATATAATGGTAAGGATACAAGAAAACCCTTTTTCTGTTGCCACTTTATTGGTAACTCTGTGCGAAAACGGTAAAATGAGACTAAGGTACGCTTGATCACCAACATGAGAATTTAATAAGCGTCCCCTCGATTTAGCGCCCTCCTCCCAATAAGCGCCGATCCTTTAAGCCAAAATTTGAATAAGCGCTTGGGCGCTTATTCGAGGAAATACTGTATTATTCAACGACGATAGGGCGGGAAACATTTATCGCCTATTTTCAGTCGCTTTCACTTTATCACTGGAGTAAATATAATATTTCCTTCTCTGAAAACTTGAGATTTAATCCTTGAATAAAATTTGTTCACTTTTAGTGAAGTACAAGTACGACAAGACGTGATCGAAAGTCTCCATGAGCACCTCAGGTAAAACAAATGAAAGTGTTGAATTAAGTGCATTGTTTATGTGTATTTATATTTATTTAAGAGCAGTTTTTAGATGAGTTTCAAAAGTAATTTGGTGGTAGCTTTGTTGGTTTTGTTTATTTTATTTTATTGTTTGCATCGTCGCGGCTTGTGATTGTTTGAAAAATCTCGCGCCAGAAATAAGACCAAACCAATCATGATTTCAATCGTTTTGCCGACTTCAAAAGGGGAAAATGAAGCTTTCCCTCCCCCACCCCCTCCAAGCAATGTTGTGTCGCTGTACACGATTCCTGTAACAGACGCTCCACCATTGATTGGGGGAAAGGGGAGAGGCGCAGATTGTTTTATTCTCTGAAATGACCCATTTTAGGATAGTGTCTCAACAATTTTGTCACCGATTGTGGGTCATGTAGCAACAGCTCGGAAGAGAAGTCACAATGGTGCGTAACCATGACCCCAAACAAAACTGAAACAGTTAAAAGAATGATAAGTCATTACTGTCAACTACCAATCAGGAGAGACCTTACGAGCAGCTCCTACACAACTGCCGATTTTTGCTGCACGCCTTTTCTGGTGCTTTGACCAAATTACAGATGTGATTGGTTCATTTGATCTTTGGAATGTGTTGTGATTGGCTAGACTTGTAACTTCTGTTGTGATTGACAACTGTGAACAGAAATCGCTGCAATATTTACTACAGTCGACTCCCGATAACTCGAACCTTCAAGGAAAATCGAAAAAAGGTTCGAGTTATCGGGAGTTCGAGATATCGAGAGTTCGAAGAGAATAGTCGAGAGTATGGTAAATAACAGTTTTTACTGCACAGTGAACATTTTAATCACATTTAATTGTAGAAATGTCAAGTGAAAATTAAAAGATACTTCTAGATTATAAAACAGAACGTAACGTAACAAAACATAGCCTAAATAGAGTATGCGTTTTACTGTTTTGAGAAGACAGGGGCACCCAACGACAATTTTCGGGAAAATATCTGTTCGGAAGACGATTTGAGATCTAGAATTTTCGGAACGTTTGTTGTAAAATTTCTTGCTTGCCTACCTCTCCTAGGATTTTCGAACATCTAAAAAATGGTAAAATTGCCCATTTTCAACGGATTTTTACCCTAAAAAGGTCACCTAGAATTTTCGGGAGCCTTTTTTCTGGCTGAAATTTTGGAACGGGTAAGTTTTGATCCCCATAATTTTCGGATCACTAGACTTTCAGCTAGGAAATCCGAACAGATGAAAAATTTATAGGGGATAAAAATATGCCCATATCCACCGTTTAAATACTAAAACACGTTTAACAATGCTATGTTTAAGTGGTTTTGAACTATATTCTCGTTGGGTGCCCCTGAGAAGAAAAGGTGCTTCACGTTAGCCTGTCACAATCAACATCAGTCTCCACTAGTAAACTATACACGTCAATAGGAAATCCAAAATTCAATGTTTCGGACGCCTGTAGACGGTTTTTTCCCTACTATATAAGGGCTCAAAACATGGTTCGAGTTAAAATTATATAGAAAATGACCTGAGGGGAAACGAAAATTGGTTCGAGTTAGCGGGAGTTCGAGTTATCGAGGGTTCGAGTTACCGAGGGTAAAATTACAATGAATGTATGACGGAAACCCAGGGGAAATCGATTTTGGTTCGAGTTAGCGCGAGGTTCGAGTTAGCGGGGGTTCCAGTTATCGGGAGTCGACTGTACTTTCGTATGTTCTGGCAAAATACGAATTACTTCTCCGTGGGATTTTTTTTGCTTTTTTTTTCAGGAAATTTGAATTGGAGAAAAGTAATTTAAGGTAAATCCTATGCTTATATTTTACCTTTACTTCAGCGATAGTCGATAGTCCCAAAAGAAACCTTAATGTTTATGTATACTGCTACTTGTACTCGTAGACCTTAAGTTATCCGTTTGAATTCGTATTTCACATACCTCCACTCTCCTCCCTTGAATTACTAGTGAGAAACGTTATTTTCACAACCTTGTCAGAAATTAAGAGGTTTGTCAGTTTCTTCCTTCCTTCCACCCACCCCTTCCTTTGCATACGCCGTTCTCCACCAAAGTGCGCGTTAATGGCTAGCAAATAATCCGCCGCCCTATCCTCTCCATCACACTTTCTTGAATAATAAATCTACTACGAGGAAGGCCACTTTTCGCATTTTAACTACACAGACGTCATTAAAGGAAAACATGACAGGTTTTTTTTTACTTCCGGGTTCATCCTCATGTGCTTCCTTCTCTTTGTTGTTTGCATCAGTCCATTTCTTTGCCTAATCGCCGCCATCTTTGAAAAATAAAGTTTCAGTTCGTTAATGGAAATACTCTATAGGCGACCCTCCCCTCCCCCTTCAGTTAAGTCCCCTCCTATGAATAAGCGAACCTCCCAGAAATTTTCAGTAAGTACTCTTACGCTGTTACGTTTTACACTGAACTTGCTATGTTTTTTGTGTTAAAGAACGAATGACAAAGACGATGAACAAAGGTCGTTTTCGGAAGAAATGAAGGACAAACTAATTTATATCGCTCAGGTTTGTTTTCAGAGGTTTTTGTTGACTTTTTTTAATAAATCTTTTTCAATCTTCTCTTTGACTGACTGGTAAGGGTCAGTTAGGACTTGATTTACTAAGACAACAGAAAATTCAAGACTTGACGGATTTTAGTTTACTTGACCTTTTAAGAGTGTTCTTTTCTCCCTATGTAGCTTGAAGAAAAATTGAAAGAACAGACAGAAGAACTCAAAAAAGCTGATAACAAAATCAAGTAAGTCTTTTTTTTTCGGGGAACGCTTATCGCTTCCTTGTTACAAATAAGAACAGACGCCACGCAAAATTGCGTCCCACAAGACCATCCCATGGTGCAGTTCGGCACAACATTGACCCAGTCTCCCACGCGACATCTACATAGCCAATATGTAAAGCTTGCACTCAATTTATACTGAAGCGGATCCTGTGTTCTGATTGGCTACCTGGATCATCTTGCCCGCTCGGGATTTCCCCCTGTGTTCCTGCAAGAAAAAAAAATCCCTTTCTGACCATTAAATAAATCCTTTTTTGACCAAGCTTGTTCGGTCAAGATGGCTGGATGTTCATCTTTACGCTTGGCCAATACCCAGCCTAATCTCGTTCCCAGATCTCTTGTTGACGAGGCGTCGTCGACAAGAGATCAGTGTAGAAGACTATATCCATGTGCTTGCAGAATTTTCTGCGATATGAACTCTGATATTTTTGCAGGGCTAACAATAAGGAGTTGCGAGAGTGTAGAGATCAGATCCAGATGTATCAAGAGATGACGGCTGTTAAAGACCAGGTTGTGGTCTCACTTACTAACCAGGTAAAATACGTCCCGCTTCATCTAGGCTCTTTTTCATATTATACCACTATCCCCCGAACGGGAGGTGAATAGTGGTGACCAATATACCGAGACGCGAAGCGTCGAGGTATATATCTAGCGCTGTTCACCGATCCTAAGGGGGATAATTGTTTTAGTATTTGCCAAATCAGTGTGGTAAAAATGAGAAAAAAGTAACTTTTTTGTAAATTAAAAACATCCCTTCTGAGGAAGTTTTTGTACAATTTACAAACTTATCGGGGATTTTGTCAAGTGCATTTTTACGATTTTGATGCAAATTCAGCAAGAAAATAATTTTCTACGTCGCTTTCTTGGTATTTGCTTGCACGACCGCTTTGTTTATCGCTCAAATTTCGTCTTCCGAAAATAGCTCGAAACGAGACGCCATCTTGGCGTCGGTCGCAAAAAGGTGAGTAGCCAAGGACATTCCGAGTTACTGTAGCCAATCAAAACGTGCGAAAATTGTTATTCCCTGATTTGGTAAACCCTAAAAGCAGGTATCCTTGCCTTGGTTTAAACTACGCGTTGAGCTATAGCCTCCCCGCAGACGTCCTTTGGGGTTCGTTTGTCACGCATTCATTTCGTGACAAACGAACCCCAAAGGACGTCTGCGGGGAGGCTAGTTGAGCTAGGAATATATTGAAATAGTTGGCCGGCCCCGTATTTAAGTTGTCTAGCTCGCGTAACAAGCAATACAGCACTTACCTTAGCTAGTGTCCATAGGATTGACTACAAAATAATATAAGCTCCTTAAACTTTGGAGGGAATATTCAAGAGAAATATATGTTGTAGTCATTTTTTTTTATCTCTGGTAATGTTTGTTTTTCTTTTGTTTTTTGGGTATGGTTATGTATGCTAATGAACTTGAAACAACTGAAAGAAAAGTAAAAATTTCCTGAGATAAAATATTAACTACAGCATATGTTTCTATAACGTATGTTCATTACAACCCATAACCATTCAGGAATTAACTGACTTGGTTAGAGAGTCCTGATTAATAGCGGTATTCTTCCTACGACTGGATTGTCTTAGATTAGCTATCCAGTTCTGACAAACTGTTAGCCTGATGGCAAGCTCTCCTGACATTTATGGCAAGCAAATCGAGTCGCGAGATACTTTTCGTGACCGAGCGACCACGACTCGTGCTCTCGCGTTTCGCTCACGCGTGACATCTCGCGACTCCCCCAAATGGAGAGCTTGCTCACAGGCTAACAAATGGTGAGCGCTGTAAGTTGTTTAAACTAACTCTTATTTCTCCCGCGCGTTAGTTGTGCGCATTGGAGAACGCAACAGTGGAAGGAAAGGAAGTTAAAGAAGAAGATTATGAAAATGATGACGATCCCACTAGGTATTTGAAAATTTTCTTTCATTTAGCCACCGATCATACCTTTCCTTTGTCTCTATATCCTGAGAAAACCGCCGACATTGTGCGACGCCACCGGTGGTCTCCTCACAAAATGACGTCTGAGAAACGAGCGTAGAAATTCCATGCTGATGACGTGTCACTACCCAGATCTCGGTAGTGCTTCTGATTGGCTGAAAGTTTGCTTCATCCAATCAAAAGCACTTCTGAGATCTGGGCAGTGACGCGTCATCAGTATGGAATTTCTGCGCTCGTTTCTCAGATGTCATTTCGCGGGGAGACCACCAGTGGCGTCGCAAAATGTCGGCTGTTTTCTAAGGATATCATCCATAATGTCTCTCTTCTTTGAAAGTAGTAAGGAAACGCTTGATCTTGGTTAAAACGTGGAAGCGACGTGCCAGATATTGATCTTGGTTGTTTACTCAGTTTATCATATTTGCGAATTTTTGAGGGAAGAAATAGCTAACTGATAGCTACTTTATATATTATTTTATGTGTCCTGTGGCTTTGAGATGATACCTCAACTGTGACCCGGGGGAAGTACTCCCTATAATGGCTTATACGGGGAGGCTCCGCCCGAAAGGGGTACTTTTTTTCAGGCTTCAGATATATGAAAGGGTAGGCATTTCATTAGTAGAGTTATACGAAAGGGTAGGGAAATCTCATTTCCGGCTGTAAAAAGACGCAAAAGGGCTAACAGATCCATTTTATGGCTGCGAAAAAGTTGAAAAAGCGCTCTGGTGTTGTGGTTTATTCATATATTTAAAGTGTTACGTGGGTAATCTTTTAGAGGACGGGTAGCTTGCAAAGTAAACTGAACGCAGGATTGTCTGAACAGCAATAAGATTCACAATAAGATTCTAGAACTTTCCAGATAGTCTAATTGTAGAAAGATTACAACATATACCGCTCTAAAAACACTTACACAAGATCCTAAAATAAACAAACTACGAACTCTCGCGAACTTTCTAGAATGTCACTCTACTCTAGTCACGCAATACAATTTTTTCGTAACAAAAAACAGTGCATTTTCAGCAATATTAAATTTCAAACTAGGCATGTGAAAGGGGTACTATTTGTCAGTAGATAGTACACGAAAAGGGGTACCTTTTCTGACAAAACTGGTATACACAAAGGTAAGGGGTTGGACCCCGGGGCGGAGCCTCCCGGCATAATGATTTGTTGAGTACCTCCTCACCTCCTCGCCCCCACCCCCCCCCCGGGGGGGGGACTGTGGTAGGCCTGTGACAAGACACTTTCGAGAAGTATTTGAGACCTCTGTGATGAAAAATGTATCTATTTTTTAAAGGTTTTGTTCCGTGTTCAGGATTAGAAAGTCGAATGTCGATTTTACTTTTGTTTCCTCTGTTTTGCATAGCACACCGCCGGAACCCTCGTCCACGGAAAGCAAGATTGATGACATCCAGGAGATAGGAAAACTCAAGGTAATAAAATTGAACAACAAATACTCAACGTTCTATTCACCCTTAGCGCACTCACGGTCACGGTGGTGTTTCGGTCAGCAAGTTAGGTACTAGTCCTTAATCTCGTTCCTTTGGCCTAGGTAAACTACTTCTGAGACGGGCGCCATTGGGACGTCGTGTTTGTACTAGAAGAGGTGTTTAACTTTCAGAGAGTCAAATAAAATGACTTTAGAACAGCAGGGGCCATCTCTAGCTGTCCGCTTTCGAAAGGTACCTGTTTTACAGAGAGTCAAAGAAAATGACTGAAGAACGACAGGAGCCATTTTGGGGAGGTGTCCATCTTGTACAGAGTATAAGAAAAGAACTGAAGAACGGTGCTGACCATATTTTGTGTTCTTGCTTTTGTAGGAAACATGCCAAGCGTATGTTTTGCAGAATCGCTTCCTAAACAGCGAGATTTTGGAGTTTAACAAGCTTAGAGCTCACGACGAGGAGATTCTGAAAGCGCAAAAAATGTAAGTACTCCTTTGCACAACAAAGTTGATATTTCCTTACCGTCTAAAAGTTTAACCTTCGATATAAAGCGAGTACCAGTCTTCCCTGTGTAGCTTTCTTGTCACGTCGTTACAGTTCCATCCAGCTTTAAAGTTGGAACCAGCGTGTAACAGATTACAAACGACACTAAAGGAATGAAGTACTGCTCAGTAGCTTTCATGTGAATCATCACACTTTGGGGTTTCATCCAGACTCCAAGTTAAAACCGCTTTGTACAGCATAATGAACGGGACCACTCCTAAGTAGCAACCTCTACAGCATAATCTCACCGAAGGAAAATATTTTATGACCTTTCATAACAACAGTTGAAAGCCTTAGGATACCCTGCTGCGAATTTCACTTCCATTGCTATCTGCTCTAGGCTCATTTTCCGTGACCCTGTAGAGTCCGGGTTTTCTTCCTGATCATTATAGTACGTCTCTGGGAAACTACCCACCTACCCCTTCCCTAAGCCAACATTTACACTTACTTCTCACTTAGGGCAAAAATGTTTGCTTAGGGGCGGGTAGGTGGGCAGTTTCCCGGGAACATATAATGATCCAGGGAATCCGAGCAGCGGCTGGTGATCGAGCCTCTGGTTGCAAGGTAACTCTTTCTGTCTTTGTTAAACTTATAGGCGACTGGCTACTGTTGAAGCTGAAATGTGCAAATACAAAAGCAAGTATTTCCTTGTGCTGAGGGAATTCCAGAAACCTCGTAAAGGTATGTAGCAAAATTAGTTCTTATCCTGCGAGCAAGAAGTCTTCCTCGCAGCCGTTTTGGTCTCGTCACGCAACGCTCTTCCCCAACATGACGTCAAAAACGGCTGTTTGGGAGACTACCTAACGAGCTCTGTGTTTGGAAATCGCGGGAGTCAGAAGTCATGCGCACTAGGGCCATAGGATTGGCTCGGGAGAGGAAGGACTTGGGAAGTGGGGTTTCGCGGCGTTTTTGGATTTTTTGGTGTTGTCGTTTGTCCTCTGCGCAAGTATTAACGAACCGGCGGGCGCTCACGTTCGGAAATAAACTGAAAAGATTTTCCTCAACTCTACCTATGTTTGTCTCGGTTTTCAGAAACGCGCTGAACGATGTATATTTCTTTTAACTTAAAAATTAAATTGAAGATCGTTTTCACGTGGCCTCTGTTCTAGTCTCGCATTTGTCTCCGACGTCTATGGCGGCCTTGCTCTTTCCGTCTACGTGCCGTTGTCAATTTTGTAACATTAGGGCCATTAATACGAGGGAAAATAAGACGCGTCTTATATAATACACGTGCTAAATGAGAGGCGAACTGTATCGTATAAACGGCTCACCTTTTTTGAAATAAGACGCGTCTTACCTAAAAACGGTTTTTGTGGGCTGTTCTCAGATAAGACGCGTCTTTGCTTAGTCGCGTCTTATTTCAGACGAGATGTGCCGTTTATACGGAACAGTTTGCGTCTTATTTAGGACGCGTCTTATTTATCCTCGTATAAATGTTCCTACTTTCTGTTTACCGGTTTGAAATTTTCCTCCACTGGACTGTACAGGTACACAGTTTCTTGCATCTTTCAACGGTTACATGATGGCTCGATAAGATGCGTTTCCAGGTGTTTTTATTGATGTCGCGGAGACTATTGTTGTTTAGGTGTTGTTCATTGACTTTTTTTCCATTTGCGAATGATTCATTCACTGAACAGAAAAGTTAACCACTACTCAGGCAGTGTCTTCTCGTGAGATCATTTTAATTCTCATAGTGCCATCGTCGCCAATTCTGTTACATATTGGATTTCTGAATGGTCTTTGTTTGTAGATGGGGAGTCGTGGGGTGTGGATGAGGAGGTTATCAGTAGACTGGTGGAGGACGCAATAGACAGCGAGTCACGTGAGGTCCACACAATGTCAAGGTCCAGGTCAGTGTCGACTACATGACGTATAATATAATTCTGCAACTGAGCCCGCAATTTTTATTACGAATGTTGCTTTCAACGTGCTCTAAAACTGCAGGTCCCATTTGTTCAGAAGGTGGATAATTACATGAACAATCAAAAACTGTGTTATACAGCATATGCAGAACAACCTTTTGCGTTTTCTTTTTTTTTTTAGTATTCAGCCATTCGACCAGTGGGGCTTTCGACAAAATCTTGATGGTGATGATGAAGAAGCTTTCCTGTCCATTGCTAAGAAACTTGACAGAAGATCAGAACAACTTAAGGTAAACAAATAATGACCGAATGAATAAGATGTCATGATCCTCTCAGTAATGTTCTGTGAGCAAGCTATAGTAAGTAGAGGATGCTGGTTATCAAAGGCGTCAAACATCAAACACAAAAACAAGGGTGCTGCAGTTTATGTTGGAAGCTCCCCGGCGTTGTACGATCCTTTGTTTTTCTGGTCAAAAAGTTGTTACTGAATAAAATATGCGAAGTTTTAATTGGTCAATAAGATCAAAATAATGCTATTGAACGTTTTGCACCGTCCAGTCAACCAAAACATATCACAAAAGAGTCTGACGAGCTCCCTAACCGTTCCACTCTATTAACCACTTAATCGCGTACTTGAAGGAGAACCTGAAAAAATTTTTTACCGGCTTGAACTATCTTCTAATCCTGACCTAAGTGAGCTGGTCACGCCTGTCATTCAAAAAAATATATACTCATCTCGTCCTGGAGAAACATCATAAATTAAGATGCTTTGGCAAACTTTGTCTCTTGCCTTTCAGATCGCTCTTTGCTCCTAACATTGTTCTATCCCATTTACTCTTGACTTAAGTCTATATATGGCCGTTTAATATGACAAGGTGTGTTTTTTTCAAAGGCCAATTTAAGTCATCAAGAAATGTCGGTGGAGGTCAAATGGGAGAACTACATGATTGCACACAAGAACAGAGACTTCCAGAAAACGGTGAGTGAGCGACGAAGTCAGCGTGCGAAGAAAGTACTGTCCGACAGCCCGTAGTCTGCTACACAGCCGTTTTTAGTGTCGTCACGCAACGCGGGAGGAGTATTGCGTGACGACACTAAAAACGGCTGTGTAGCAGACTAGACAGCCCGGGGCTAGTGGATTTTGCTATCGGGCTAGTGAATTCTGTTTTTAACTTGCCCGACGGGCAAGTGATGTTTTATGAGGAATTTGAATAACAGAAGAACAAAAAGTTTTTGGGGCTAGTTGAAAAGACGCCTGGGCTAGTAAATGCTAGCTTCAGCTTGCCCGAATGGCAAGCTGTAAAAATGATTTTCTTTGCACCCTGGACGAAGTACAGTTTGAATGTACACTTTATCGTTTCTCTCTACGAAAACCGAGCAGTTACCGTTATCAACATAGTAAAGAAGTGATGGCGTCGCAAAAAATCAAATTTGTTTTAATATGGGCGATCAGAAGGGATTTTCGGAAAGAACAAGATAGAAAATGCCCATGGCCACAAATCATCGGATATTGCAAATTAGTGGTGAAATGTTATAATCGTTTTGCCTTTACTAGTGCAATTTACAAATGTAGCTACTGTTTTATAAACTCCAAAGCAAATTTGACACTTGTAAAAGTTGTTTTGAATTGATCCCACATTTTTTTTTCATTGGTTGAGTGTCAGTTCGCGCGCACGCGCACTTTGGTATGATCGTCTGCCCATGCAGTGCATGGGTGTCTTCCATGTAGTCCGTGAAGACGTACCGAAAAAGCGAGCAGTTTTTGCTTCACCGGGCAAGGAGTGTATTAATGCTCACATAATTAACCTCATCGATCGAGCAACTTTCAATGATTTTATGGGAGGTTAGTCAGGTCACGTAAAAGTCGGCTGATAGAATGAAGATTCATTGTAGCGACTAATCGCGGAAAAATCACGCAACGAAGCTCACTTATCACACTAATCTCATCATTTTACGAATACAACCTGGATAGTTATGAGCTATTTTTAATTTTCAAAAGGCTATTACCGTAAATCTTCTATTAAACCCCTTGGGGGAGGTGGGGTGGGGGGGCTTAATAGAGACGGGGGGCTTACTTTCTTCCCCTGAAAAGTGGGGCTTATTTGAGTGGGGGGTGGGAGGGGGAGCGCTTAACAGAGCATTTACGTGTTGTATTTCTCGTTCTTTAGTTTGAACTTAAGATTTTAGTGCGAGCTGGTATCCCACATGAGCATCGCGCCATAATATGGAAAAAATGTATCGACGAATGTGTTCAGGATACTAGGAAAATCGCTGGAGACGGCTATTATCAAGAGCTGTTGGAGTCCATCAAAGGAAGACCTTCGCCGGCCGTCAAACAGATCGAGCTGGACTTGCTACGCACGTTACCAAATAACAAGCATTACGAGCGACTGGATGCTGATGGGGTAGGTTACTAGATTTTTCTGCTTTACAGGTATTTTTGTGAATCTCGAACATGGATTAACCATGTGAAAAAGATTTACATATTTAGCCCTTTCATCATCTAAGTTATTTTCTTGAACAACTCTAAGGTGTGTCAAACCTGTATTGAACGGTCAACCTGTATTAAGCGGTCAGTAAGCCATTCCATAAGGGTGACTGTATCTGTAATACCTGGACAAAACAACGTAAGGAAATATTATAGTATTTGGCGTCAATTACAGTCCTGATTGCTATGTGACCGTGCCGACGCCTATTTCCCTTCGTACTGTAACCGGTAAACACCATTTTTTGAAACATCAGTCACTATCAAGAACATTCCTGTTCTGGACTACGCTCGCCCGGACGATGGTATCAGTTCAACGTACATGTACTATGATATAACATCTATTACACTTACAGTGCGGTTGTCGTTGTTGATATTTTACTAGACTTCGAAGCTGAGAGACGTCTTGCTCGCCTATAGTTGGCACAATCCTGATGTTGGTTACTGCCAGGTGAGAAAAGATAGCTTTTCTATGTAACCGTGCCCAGCGTTGTCACTGAGATTTTAAGTTGCCGGGTAAATACAACACGTGGGCGGGGATTCAAACAGCTAGGAGTTTCTTTTGGTTCTATTTTTCTTCTATTTTCTTTTAAAAGTAGCCGGGGGAAAATCCCCGCCCCCTGCCTCTTAATGTGTCCCAGGGGTGCTCACTGTACTATTGGGGTGTGCTCTCTGTGTCTTTGCGATTCTGGACAAAGGAGGTGAATTTAAGACCCTGTCCAGGACAAAAATTAACTTATTTGGACGACAGGGGGAGTGAAATTTTCGCACCTAAAGTTGATCAAGAATAATCAGGGATTGTCAGAAAAAAAACTGACCCTGATCTAAGAGACAAACTGATGTAAAAAATACCCCTTAGTCTTCCAGTAAATGGAGGGTGATTTTTATACCCTGTCCCAGAGTCAAAGAGGCGAGAGACTGATAAACATACCCGTATCTCCCATATATGGGACATCGCTCCCCCTTCCCCTTGCAGTTTTATTAAGTATGCTATCAAAAGAAATCCTTGGCTGTGGCGGGAAAAGTACACGACATCTTTGACCTTGCATTTGTCGCCGCCCTCTGTGTCTCGTTGTACAGTGTATTCTTTCTGTCAGCCTGTAACTGCAACTTGAGTCCGTCCACAAACTTCCAGGATATTTAGAATCCTGCGAAAAGCTTCAACCTCGGGCAAACCCTGTTGAGACACACCACAAAGACATTTATTTTTTTTCTGTCATCCTGGCAAAACTGGAAACTATCGCCAAATGAATGCCCGTTTCTCCTCCCCCTCCCCTTTTCCAATAGTAGAGAGCTTTAGTTTCGATGACGAGGACGACAGTTAATTTTAAATTTTCTCGTCTCTTCTCTAAAACAGACTCCCCGGAAAACTTCATTATACTTTTTTACACCACCAAGTGGCAAAGTTACCACGCTTATTTCCTTTGCAGGAGGTTACGCCTTCTCCCGATCGCTAAATGATAAATTTTCTAACATTTGATAACTTGTTTTCGCCACTACGACATTCTCGCTCAAACTGGTAGTAGACTGACGACGGCTACCGCATTTTCCCGCCAAAATGACCTGGTTCACGTGCGCGCACTTTGTCGTAGTCGTCCTCGTCTTAGAATCTAAAGCTCTCTAATGTTTAGAATAACACGAGAATTGCGCACCTTGGTTTTTACACCAAAACAACATTGAGTAGGGGGTGGTGAGGGTATAATTACTTCTTTCTGTTTAGAGGAGATGGTAGTATGGCGCAAAAGTAAGAAAACAGTTGGAACTGTCTCAACACTTTTGTCCGTGGTGGAAGTATCTTAATTATTTATATGACTTTTATTTATTTATTTTTTTACCAAACCCTTCTCTCGTGTTTTCTCTCCAAAGGGATTGAATCGACTTGTCGCCATTGCTCTACTTTATCTGACTGCAGAGGAATCGTTTTGGTTTGTAGCTCGTTCTTTTTTCATTGCTGATTTTTGTCGCTATAATGGTTTGCTCTCTTTGTCTTTGCGTAACATCTCAGCTTTTATTGTAGTTGTTGCCTTGACAACCGGAATTGTCATGGTAACGCCTATGACGATTACGTGGGGTTGGTGAGAGAACTCACAAAAGCGAGTTTTTTGAGCGGCTGTTCAAAACTTTGCTCATGGCTTGACTAAAGTATTGGAGCCTAGAACTCAGCGTTGCTGTTGCTTCTCATTTTTTTTAGATTTCAGAACACCTGTTGTGTATTTTTGAGTTATTCAAAACATACAACAAAGCCGCATCAATGGGGAGGCAAGATCGAAGCCGTTCCCCTCTGATGCGGCTTGCAGGTGGGAAAAGGGGGGTAAAAAACAAAGGCAAGTTGTCAGGTCGAAGGCGAACTAAAAGTGATGTACCAGACAACGAAACTAGCGCACATGATCAGGGGCACAGATAATGGATAACTAGTGGATGCTACGTGTTGTATTGCCTTTGGACGGTATCCAATACGTTACTTTTATATCGAGGCACGTTCCAAGAATAGGGAATTTAAGATCCAACGACGAGGACGGCAACAAGAAGGTCCAAAAAAAAAAACCAACAGGTTTAATAAGCAAAACAACAACTTTGCAAGTGCATCACGCTTTATTGTACATTTCATTTTTGCACGACTACGACGTGAAAATGCCTAATTTCGCGTTTTATGGAGTACGTAAACAAGCAACGACGAAATTTTGTTTCCCTTTCTGCACTTGGATATGGTCCAAGGCATTCAACTCCAGGAGGGTTCGCTTACATTTGACAAAGTGAGTGGGTAGGAATAATTGCGATAAAGACTGAAAGAACGCAAATTCCTTTTTTTAAGCGACGTTCTCTTTGCCGTCGCGTCGTTGGATCTTAAAGTCCCTAACATAAGATTCTCGGATTCTCAGCGCGAAAGGGAATTCTGCAGTTTTCATTGGAAAGGGACAGAAGAACAAATAAACGAAGAGTAACTCGTTTAAATGTGTTTTGAAAAAATATCCATGAAATGCTTGCATGAGGGTAGGTGATTTTCGTATTTTCCAACCGAAAGTACTTAATCCCGGATATTATAGACAACCCTTTGACGCTTGAAACAAAAACCTGTTGAACCATGTGAGAAAGCTTATAATAATAATGTCACTTTTAATCTACTCTCTGTCTTCGTATGGGAGAATGCGAAGATGACTCATGACATGAGATGTACCTCGGGAAAGATGACTCGCTTACTTTTTCACTTCTTGTCATGATTTATTGGTATTTGATTTGTGTTTACTTATGTTGCAAAAGTTGTTACATCCAGAAGCCCTTTAGATGAAAATTAAATTTAAACGACGACAACTATTTAGGAAGACAATCATTCAGATCGCACAAGAGATGTTTATAACTTTTATCGTCCGATCTCAAGAAGTTCATTAAACTCTCTAACAATAACAACAACAACAAACTTTATTTACATTTCGCTTTAGAATAATTATAGTTACAGAAGTTAGTTTCAGTCTAACGGTCAGTTACATGCAGTGTGATAAAAGGAAAACTAAAAATACATTACACGTAAGGAAATCCCTAGCATCTAAATAAACCGTTCGATTTCCGAGTTAGATACTAGTCTCTATTGTTACAATTTGATATGTAGACGTCAAGAGCAAAACACGCCAACACTGACACACACACCCACACACCCATAAATGAACTGCAGTCAAAGAGTGCAATAGCTAAATAAGAAGTCGTATGCGACTATTAACTCTGACATTGGATTTGCTTAACTAATAAATATCGTTTTACTTTCTTACGAAAATTGAAGTGTTTTACATGTCTGAGTTCAATAGGTAATTACTGCCACAATTTAACAGCCATAGCCGTCGGTGGTAAGGCTGAAATTCTTGTCATTCAAGCGACCAAGCTGAGTTAATACTTCGTCGCACTTTGCTGACACCAAGCATATAATCCACTGAAGTTTTCAAGTCGATAAATTTCTTTTCAATTGACTGCAGGTTAGCTCGTATTGGACTAAGTTCTGTTTCTAGTAGCTTTTTAGTTTCTTCTAAGGTTGCCATAAATGTTGACGTCTACATAAGGAAAAAATTTGGCCAATAATGGCGGAGCTATGAAAGACATGTCAGGCCGCCATGACTGACTCCAACTGAATTTACTTGCATATGGAAGTCAGTTTTTATTGTGTCCTTGTTCAGTTTTGTCGTTCGAGATCTCCACCTCTCAAGAGTTGACTGAAGATTGTGTCATTTCCTTCGACCAGCTTGCAACGGACTCACTTTGCTGTTTAATCGGTCTCCAATAGAGGCCAAAATTCGCCCAATTTCTTTAGTTTTAGCTTCCTGGCTTGTTGCAAATGGGGGGCTGTTCTTTTTCTCTTCCTTCGATCCAGATGGCTTTTTGTTAGCATTCTCCATTTCCACAGCTTGTTTCACCTAGTCTAAAACATAACAAGACTGTCCTATTAAAACTTAACGCATTTAGTCTTGAAACTGGCTAATGAAAACGCCCGCTAACGTGTACGATGGATGTTCGAATTTTTTTGTCCGCCCGGACGAAAAAATGTGGTCATTGTAGAGAGGTTGCCGTTAGCAAAGGTTTGACTCATTGTGCTAAACGTCTTTTTTTAATAGTTCTTCATATTTAGTGTGCTTTCTCTAAATACAAATCTGATGGCTCGCTCGTTTATTTTCTCTGACTTGTCAGTGTGGCCTTTGCTGCAAAAGTGCCACGTTTCGGAACAATGCTAAGATGTTAAAATGCGGGACAATGAAAGATAAATACAAATCACGTTTGATGTTTAAAGGTAACATTTTTTTCATAAGCCTGAGTACCGCTTGTTTCCAAACAGCAAATGTACCGTTTTTCGTGAAGGACGTGAGAGAGACTGCCTTACCGGAAAGAAGTGCTGATAAACGTAATGGCATTTAAGTAATGAGCCATTTCATTAGGAACTTTTATATTTATTTGGATTGTCAATCAAGCCATACTGTCACGTTAAATATTATGTTAGCCTGTGTTCAGAGGGGAGGGGTGGGGTCTATTTATGGACTAGTTTTATATCTCCCGCTAGGTAGGTAGGTTCCTGTTTCAGTGATATTGAACACCATATAATTTGCGTAAAGCCGCAGTGCACGGCTTGTTTTTCTAACCCTTAGATAAAATTTGACATAGTTTACGTTATCCTTGCCTAAGAAAATATGTTATTTGTAGTTGTATTTAAGCAATAGAAAACGTTTTCCGTGTTTGCATAGCCTGATGAAATTCTTACCAGTCGCAAAGTCTTGTCCACGAAGTCTTGCACGCGTAATCAGTTCTTGTTTTACAAAAAGATGCTTTCCAAAATACGGACTTTTCTGGCTTAAAATGTCAGCGACGACACACTTTCTTTGTAACGATTTTCCAAGTTTCAGCCGACGAAGAAATGGGTAAATAAAGGTTTAGTTTTGAACTTCAAACTTTTTCAAATTCGTGCATCACCAGCATCTATGCAAATTTATTGGAACAAAAGCAAGACTTTGCGATGAGAAAATGTTCAACTCCAAGGATTGGTTTGGGACACCAACATGGCCGCCGTTTCATTGTTTTGGGACACCAATATGGCCGCCGTGACGTCATGTGAAAACACTCTATACAGCAAAATACTACAGGGAAAATTGTAACTCTTCACACGAGCGACTCCCGATTGGTCTAGCGAGCTTGAGCTAGTAGTGTGTTTGGGTGTAACAAAATTTAAAATTTTCATTTTAGCGCATATTACAAGCTCGTCGCGAGATCAGAAATAAAAGAGCATCTTTTTACATTACAAGAGAGAAATTTTTAAGCGATAGATAGGCTATAAGAGGCCGGTCAATTTTTAACGATTTTCTTTTCAATTATCCAGACATGTTTTTTTGTGATAATCATCGACAACGCGAATCAGGTTGATATGATCTCAAGTTTACAACAAAACAAAAGTTACTACGTGATGTTAATCGGTTTGTTTTAGCATTTGCGCGCGCAGGGATTCAATATGGGTACACACTGACTCGAACCCCGCTCTACGGACACCCACTTCATTGATACGGACACCTCGTTATTACGGACAGTTTTGCTTGTCCCAAGCTTTTACATTTTCTCTAAATTCATCCCGTTTAATACGGACTCTGTTTATGGCCCCCTTAGTGTACGTATAACGCTGTGTGACTGTATCAACCTGGGAACCGACCATCTCCAACCGTGTGTTCTAAATTCTCCATCTTGCATGCATAGAAGTTCAAGGCTACAAGGCTACACACGTCGGTTTCATTGAATCATAGTCTGTGTTTTGCTTTTCCCAGACTGGAATTTTCAAATATTTGCCAGATTTAAACTTGGTGCTTCTATAAGATAAAGATACTCAGCTTACCTTTTCAACACTTATAGGTACAGTTTCCAACTAGCAAATGTACCGTTTTTCGTGAAGGACGTGAGGGACACTGCCTTACCGGAAAGAAGTGATGATAAATTCAATAGCTTGGCATTATAGTTTTGTAATGAGCTGTTTCATTAGGGACTGTTGTATTTTATTGGATTGTCAATCAAGCTCTATTGGCACGTTAAATATTATGTCTGTCGCTTAAGCTCGCTAATTCTGCGGTCAGAATGGCCATCATGAAGACGCGACGAAATCACAAGTCAGACTCTCTCCTGCAAGGCGCTCATGATTTCCCTCAACCGTTTTGTGAAAAAGGAAGGCCTAGATTTCCCTCCTGAAACTGCTAAAATGAACTGTCGTCCCTTTCATTAAATGCAGAATTTCTAACCACAGCCTGAAATTATCCCAGCACATGTTTTGAGAACCGGAAAGAGTTGCTAGAATATGACACGACTCTGGATAATTATGATCGTTCGCATAGACGTCCAGTATTGGGCTTTGTTTGCTGAAATGCCTTTATTTCAGTCGCACAAGGAATCTTTTCAGGATTTTGGTTTTCAACCCCTTGCCATTCCTGATGCTTAGGGGAGCAAATATTTTTGTATTAGAATGTGACACGGTTTTGCATAATTATGATAATTCGCATAGACGTCCAGTAACAACAACAACAGTTAATTTCTACTACAGCTGTAGACAGACAACTAAAAGAATTTACAAGAATATAGTTATAAAGAAACAGTACATACAGTAGTGGGACACCCAAAATAACTAAAAAGCTAAACCAGTTGGGTGACCGTAATTATGTTAATTGAAAATGGGAAAGTCAGGAAAGAGGCACAGCAAATACATTGCTACACATAGATATCATAAACTTGGTACAAAATTAAATATGCAGAACAAAATAAATAAATATAAAGCATCAAGATATCGTAAAGATTAGTAGAGACCAATGAAATCTGGTGAAATGCGAAGTTAGTTCTTTTTAAATTGATTGGAGGTATTAAGGACACTTGAATCTTTCGTCAAGTTCATTCCTGCTGGAATGAATCGGCTTGAGTTTGCTATCAAGCAGCGACTCAAGGTCCTTCAACGAAGGCTTGTCGTTTGATGGCATTTCGTTTGTTATATAAACGGACACACGGAGACTCCAAGAAATGAAGAAAAAAACTGTGAGAATCTGCATTAAGCAGTAAACGGAACACATCACTCGCAGTAAGCAAAACACTCCCGCCGTCTTTGCTGACCGCTGAATAGCCCAGTATTGGGCTTTGTTTGCTACAATGCCTTTATTTCAGTCGCGCAAGGAATCTTTCAAGGATTGTGGTTTTCAACTCTTCTCCATTCCTGATGCTTAGGGGAGCAAATATTTTTATATTAGAATGTGACACGGTTGTGCGTAATTATGATCGTTCGCATAGACGTCCAATATTGGGCTTTGTTTGCCACAATTCCTTTATTTTATAGTCGCACAAGGAATCTTTTGAGGATTGTGGTTTTCAACTCCTCTCCGTTCCTGATGTTTAGAGGGGCAAATATTTTGTTTTCTAGAACAAACAGTGTGTAGTATTTACAAAAAAAAAGCGTTAACTAAATCTACGATTTTGCCAAGAATTCTAAACAGTCTAAGGCGTCGGTCAGAAAAACAAAAAGAAAAGAAAAAATAGCCACTCTAGGTAGTGGATGTGGTTAGTCTTTGTAACGTACTTTAGGGTCGTTCAGTGGGTAAACTTTAATCTTTATTTCCTTCGGACCGAATCAACATTTCTGCAAGTGCTCCATGTACTGAACAGACCCTTAATTTGTGTTCATAAAGGTGACGTCTTCCTTTTTCAATCCTAACAGTGCCCACAAAGAAAATTTCCCAAAATTTCAAATTTCAAATGTCTTTAAACAGCACCGTGCGGAGCAATATGTCAAGCCAGCAAAGTGTGCTCCATATAAATATTCTTTTCCTTTCCGAATCGCGCGGGACTGAAACTGTTTTTGTTCATATGTGATCTAATTTATATTTTGAAAATAGTTTTAACTTTTTAATTGTTCTATTTTATACGTTTTATATTTTACCTAGCTTATATCTGTTTTATCTTTTTATTGAGGTAAACGTCATAGGGTCAACCTCTAGTTTGTACCCAAACCAACCTAGACGAACCGTTTAAACTTCAAAAACGCTGCGCTCGATTAATTTTGGATATTACTCGGGATACACGATCTTTTGATAATTTTCAAAAGCTATAAGTGGCTACCAATTGATCAAATATTCAAGCTCAATAAACTCGGCCTTTTAAAGAAAGTTATTGATGAAAGAGTACCGGAATACTTAATTACAATCTTGGACTCACTTCGGTTTGAACACAAGTACTCTACCAGAACAAAAACATTATACCCCTTACCGAAACCCAGAATCGAAGCAATGAGGAAAACATTCTTCTATTCCACTATTAAAGAACTAAATGCTCTTAACGTAGAACCAACCACCTCCTTTAGCTTAATGAAGACAACACTTACCAATAACGCCGCCTCAAACTATACGGTGGACAATTTTAAAGTTAAAAAGGTTTTTCTGATTTTTAAAAAATCCGTGCTTTTTTAATACCATTGTAGACTGGATTTCCTTTTTTACCAATGAATGTATTCACTTCCGTTTTTAACATCTCTCAATTGTTTAAATCTCTAGAATTTTTAAGATCTTTTATTATAATCACTATTTGTAAATAGGCTTTTTATCATGATTGTTGTAATTTTCTTATTGTCAAGTTTCTTTTTAGAGGACCACTGGGGAGAATACTAGAAATGATGTTTTGCAATTTCATTTTCCACATCTTGAATAAATACGTTTGTCCTACCAAAGAGTTTATATTTCAGTAATACAATCATGAAAAGGATCTCGTTTACAGATGTAAAAGTTATTTTAGAATGACGAGAAATCTCACCATAAATTGATTGAAGAGTTAAAGAGTAATGTGCATGTTTCGAAAGAGAAACAAAAAGAAACGTTTAAGAAAAATTAGTACAAAGAAACGTTATCCAACCAGAGTAGGAGAAACCACAGAACCCGGTAGTGTACATGTACTTTTATTCGACATAGGCAACCGACCGTTTTCATCTTCCGACGGGTTATTTTGCAGAGTATTAGGCCTTGCAGTAGCCTACTTCAGTCACACGTTTTACGTATCCCGCCTTTTTCTCCGCATTAATCGTGACAAAAGCGGTCCGTTGCGTGCAAGTAACCCGGTATTCCCAACTCATTTTAACGCACATCCTACATGCGTTTATGTGTTATCTGTTTATGTGCTTGGACACGACAAACATTAGAGACTTTTAGATTCGAAGACGTCGACAACTATTCGATTTAAGATTCGATTTAAAGTTGTTTCGTGTATATTCTCAAAATATGGACACCCCGAAAAGCGTAATTGGATTTTTTTTTGCCAAAAACATTAGCACGGTTAGTTTTACTTAATGAGGTTTTAACTTTAGATAGCTTGTTAATTTCCTTCACTACGATATTAGAGACCTTTAGATTCGAAGACGACAACAACAACGTGGGCGAGATTTAACTTAAGTTTTCTCGCGTATTCTCAAAAAATAGATACCCCACAAAGCATAATTGTACTTTTCTCCGTCAGAAAAGGTGGCACCATTATTTTTATCGAAGGAGGTTAAGCCTTCCGCCAATCGTAAAACGGTAGCAGTTATAGCATTTGATAACTTGTTTCCGCTGCTACCCGGCGACATTCTCTCTGGAACTCGGAGTACAATGACGGCGGCTATCACGTTTTCCTGTCAAAATGACTCAGGGTCAGGCGTGCGCTCCACTTAGTATGAGAAAATCTCGTACTCGTAGACTTTCTGGTTTTAGAATCTAACGGTGTCTATTATGTCTAGGCATAATGTTTAGCTTTATTTGACGTGCAGCAGCCGTCTATGACCTTTCATCTCTTTTCTTGTGGTTGCAGGTGTCTTGTAGCTATAGTTGAGCATCTTATTCCGAAAGACTACTACTCTAAAACGTTGGTAGCTTCGCAGGCTGATCAAAGAGTCCTCAAAGATTTGCTCGCAGAAAAACTTCCTAGGCTCAACAATCATTTCGAGGCTCTCAGGTATGGTGGATATTTCGTTATTGCCTTGGCTTAAAATATTTCAGTCCCTGTTACCCAAGCCAATTTGTTTATCGGAGCAGAGGTGGCGCAGTGGTGAGAGCACTCGCCTTCCACTAGTGTGGCCCGGGTTCAAATCCCGGCGTTGACGCCATATGTGGGTTGAGTTTGTTGTTGGTTCTCTTCGTTGCACCGAGAGGCTTTTCTCCGGGTACTCCGGTTTTCCCCTCTCCTCAAAACCAACACTTCCAAATTCCAATTCGACCTGGAACGCACGGAGACGTTTAAACGAGTTCAAATGACCTTCTAAGTGCTTCGTGGGTAAAATAGCTCGGGGGACTTTCAAGAGAAAATAGAGGGTCCGTGAACAGGCTTCTCCGACCCTGGGGTTCGAAGTCGCGACCTCCCGCTCTGCAGCAGTCCAGGAACACTAGCAACTGAGCTAACCTTGCCACGGTTAAAAATCTAAACTAAAATATGACTACTTATTGATTTTTCTTACTGTTATCTTTTGTTTTTTACTGGCAGTGTTGATTTATCCTTAGTGTCGTTCAACTGGTTTTTAACAGTGTTTGTAGACAACTTTCCAGTACAGGTATGGTGTATTTCTTTTGCCATGACGACACAACACCGGGGGGGGGGGGTACTTTAGGAATTTCTGGGTGGGGATGTGCCGCTGGGACCCTGGAACCCTTAACCTATTCCAGAGCTAGTTCAGCTGAATTTTGCTACCCTATACCAGAGTAAACTCCCCAAATCCCCTCTATCCTAGAGTAGCTGTTTTCCAGAAACTACTGAGGTCACCAGCACAGTAGTCTAGCCAAAACAGAACCTTATACCACAATCCCTAGTCTAGATAAAATCTTCAACCAAGTGATCAGTTTCCTGAAAAATGATACCCTATTCTAGACCCAAACGCTCTCATTTATATACCCTATCCTAGAGCCAACTGGCTGAAAACCATACCCTTCACAGCGACACATACCTATATAGCCCATATATGGCAATACCCCCCCCCTTCTCGGGCACAACACCTTTAGGGAATATTCGGACTCCTGACCGGTATATTAGATGAACTTTAATAAAAACTAGAAACAATTAATACAATCAAATTTATAGCGTGATTTTACCTGACCCGTGAAACCGAGAAAAACAACTAGTGCAAAATAGCTACAAGCAAACAAAAGAAGACCATGGAATTAGTGTATAATAGCGCGTAGTATTCTACTACCTATTTCACGGGTTAAGTAAAATCACTCTAGTTACTCACTAAGGGCCTGTGTACGTGGAGGTGGGGTACCCTAGATAGGTGAGGTAACCCCCTTAGGTGGGGTAACACGCCTGTCCATAAAATCTCTCATTTCAATGTGATTACGTTTACATGTTAGGTGGGGTAACCTGCCGCATGTTACCTCACCTACCTGGGGTCCCCCACATTCATGTAAACAGGCCCTAAGGCCCTTATTAATCGTCTTTTTTTGTGGAGAATTTTTAAAGTGAGGTCACACTATGTCCAAAACCTATCTCGGTATTGCTCCTCGTGGTCGCTGCTTTCCAATTGATAAGAAGAATTGTTTGACTTCTGCCTTGCTCGTCACCACAACGTTAATCATTTCGTTATTTCCTAGACAACTCTACGAGTGTGGGACACTTTTCTTTTCGAGGGAAACAAGGTAAGTTGTGTCACATCTTTTTGGCTCCCTATCTTGCTAGAACGTAATTCCTCTTTTGCAAGGTTTTGTTCGAGGCCGGAGGCCGGACGTCACTTTCGTTTGTTTAGTATGGGAAGTCCGATGCTTCAACACAAAATATATATCTACCTGGATTTATGAAAACCGAGTTAGCAAACATTTTTTGTCGTTTATCTCAACTTCCTCTGTCTTCACTTGTATACTGTGTTATTGGTGGTTGTCCTGATGAGTCACTCATGCATGAAGTGGATTTGTTGAAAACTGTTTAATGACTGGAATCTTCTGAGAACAAACACCAGCCGACTGGTATTAATTATCGCAATTCCTGATTCAAATATTCAGCTTTTTTGTGAACATTTTAATGGCACCATCCCGGTTAACCTTTACTTGTCCAGCAGACGGAGGAAATGGCGTTTTGGAGAGTTCAAATTCAAAAGTTGCTCGCCCTTCCCACTCCCATTTCATAAAAGTTCGTTTCGTCAGCGCAAACCGCTTGTTTCACTTTTGAAACCGTACTTTAGAATAATACTGCGCTGACCCTGCTTTTGAAAAAGATTTGCTGGTAAAAGAAGCGCGGGGGACGTGCGAGAGCGAGCAAAAAGTAGCTCCTTTTCACGCCATGCCCTCGCGCGTCCCCCGCGCTTCTCCCATTCCGCTAAAAGGACATGGAAACGACTGCCACACAGGCAGGCCGGCGTTGTATGTGGTCTTATTTCTGTCGCTTTATTTTCCATTCAGGTTCAACTGTACCCCCTTTTTACTAGTAACATGTGATACTTTTAAAGGTGGCCAGCATCAACGCTTACATTTTAAGGCGTAGTCTTATCTCCCTATTTTTGTACTAGGTGCTTTTCCGATTTGCGCTAGCAGTCTTCAAGAGCACTGAGGAGGAACTTTTAAAGTGTCAGGATCACATGGGTATCTTCAATTTCCTGAGGCAAATGCCGGAGAAAATCACTGACGCCAACACCCTCAGCCAGGTTAATATCGTTTGTTATTATGTGGCTGAATCCGCGAGCGAGCAAGATAAAGCAAATCCTGTATTCTGATTGGCTCCCCGAGCGGGCAAGATGGGTCCATGTTCCCCGCTCGGGACTTCCCGCTTTGATCCCACAAGTAATAAGGGCCAAGTCGCACTAGAGGGCAATTTTACATTTGTTCTGGACAAATTCGACTTGAAATCGGCCAGTGACAAAAAATTTGTCCGGAGAGCTACAGTCGCACTTAAGAACAAAATCAAAATCTGTGAACAAAACACAACACCATGCTGTGAGCGCCTTGTGATTTCAGCCCACAGTTGAACTAAAAGCTTCTCCTCTTCTTTACTCCATCTGTCCTGAGCCTTCTTGTTCTCGGCTGACGAAGATGCACGACGCGAAGAAGATGGGGTTGATGCCGGCATTGAGCTATCTTCGCTGAACTGGAGGGATTCTGGCAACGAGTCATTACTCGTGGTCGAAGGAAATGGGCTGGGATTTCCTCGATCATTAAACATGTAAGGGCCTGCCAAAGGATAGATCCATCCTGGTGGATATTGTGGATACCGTATTCGTACGGAAAAAATTGGTCGCCCGCGCCGGGATTCATGTTGTTGCGAAATGTGAACGTGATTAATTTTACAACGAAGTTTATAGCATAGAGACTCTGCTACATATCACCTGTCAAATCATTTCCGAATTAAAACACACTCGCTATTGTTTTCCAAAATTTGTCTCGATTTGGCCTGCTCCAGAGGTAGTCGACGGCATCTTTGAAGTTTGTCCGTCTGCGACCAAATTTTGTCCTTTGGTGAACAAACCGGTCGCACTTGGTTTTTCATTGTGATGACAGATTTTTGACATAAATAAACAGTTTTGTCCTCTAGTGCGACTTGGCCCTAAAGGTCTTTTTAGCCACGTAATAAATCCTTTATTGACCAACTCGTCGGTCAAGATGGCTGAATATTGGCTCGTTCGTTTCTGCCTTTTTATTGATCTCGACTTCGTTCAGGTCAATAAAAACGCCGCAAAAAGAACTTGGCCAATATCCAGTCATCTTGATCTCACCCTTGGTCAATAACCCATGCGCATAAACTCTATGTCATATACAGGATACTTCACGGAAAGTGCCGGCGTACGGTATTTACGCACGAGTTGTTGACGTATCAGAAATCCAACGATTGAACACACCATTTTTTATTTCATTTTTTTTTTTTGCTTAGATTGCCTTCCAGGTCCTAAATCCCTTCCCGATGAAGATGATAAGAACGAAGCGTGCCTATCACCTGGAAGTCGTCAAGGTGAGATAATAACACTATTATTGTAATTGCTTTAATCAGTCTGAGGAGAACTTTTTGGAACTGAAATGTTTTAATGTCACCTAACTTTAAAGGCTTGAAATAAGGGTCGGTCAACTGATAATAGTAGGCTGATTTAGCAACAGAACGGGAACGTCAGTTGACGACTGCGCGCAAATCAAACAACTGGCTTAGCCAATGGCACAGCGGCAAATTAGGCACCGGAAGTCGAGTTTAGTCCTTACCGCGCGCTTTCCCGTCGTCGAAAGACGTTCCCGTTCTGTTGCTAAATGAGCCTAGTGAGTTTACCCAACAGGACGGCAAATCGCTTGTGCGTGACGAACGTGACTAGGCTATTACTTGCCTGTTTTGTCGTGATCTTCAGTAAGAAATGAAGTTTGTGCAAAAAGTTATTTCAAACAAAATTTTTTGTCACGCTTGTCACGCAAGGTTTGCCGTCTTCCTTCCTCTCCCGTCCTTTTGCGTAAGTTCGCTAACATTTTGACGTCATTTGAACGGAAGAGTACAGGCCATGGAAAGTTGGTGTCGATTTGTCAAATAGCACCATCCACTGGTTTTAGAGGAGGCAATTACGCTGTCAGAAGGTGGAAAGACCCAGAAACTTTTCGGCCCCGAACTCGAAGGCAAATTTTAAAATAAACATCTGTTGAATAGTAGCCCAGTTCCTAACTCACAAACAAGTCAATTTCGCTTCGTTAAACCTTTGCAGCACTCGTCATTCTTCCCTTTTTTTTGCACATCAGCCGTTCGTACAACGTGATTCTTCTCTTAAAATCTCTTTTCCGTACGTTAGTCGGTTCTTGTTATAGTGGTTATGTCGTCATCTACTTACGTCACTGACTGCTTAATATGGGGTGACAGTGTATACAGGTCAGTTGACAAGCCTAAAGATAACTCAAGAAAATAACTGGCTTCAAGAGGGGTATCCCGGTTAGGATAAGGTGAATTAACTTCAAAGCCGAGTTCTCTGTCTCCCTCGTTTTTCTTAATGAAAAGAAATAAAAGACAATTATTTCATTGTAAATGGTATCGATCTTTACTGGGAAGATAGACGTCGTTTTACTTTCTAATGGATTCTTTTTTTCTCCTTCTTTTTGCAGCATGAGCTTGCTGATTTAGACAAACTCCGCGAGGAGTATGTCACCAGCAAAGCCGATGAACCTGAATCCAGAGACGGGGACATGCTCGGTGAAGACTGAAGCCTGGGAACTAGTCCATTCACAATAACACTCCAAGCCAATAATTTACGGCTTGCAGTAAGATTATCTTTCGTATGACCTGGATTGATCTCCCAGAAGTTGAAGTTATTCTTATAATACTTGTCCCTGGAAAACGTCATTGCTGATTGACTAAAGAAAATACTGAAAGCGAGCGACGTCAAAGAAGATTGTTACGTCTTAGCTATTTGTCCGTTCGCGTTTCCTAGAACGGCCAGACGTCGTGCGTGTTTTTCTCGCGTGTTTTCACGCTCCTCGTTTTCACCTTCGAGTAACAAATCCGTGAATTGTTGGTTATGTTCACTGGTTAGACGAAAGTCATTCTGTGAATAACGCTTTGTCGTGACTGTAAATACTGCGTGTTGCATTTAAATTTGATTTGCTTTTTAACAATTCGAAAAAAAGCTAATTAAATTAGATAAATTCTTATTCCATTGAACTGAAGAAAAGGGAACCTTGTCAACCTTCATTCCGATTCACATTCTGATTCACATATGAAGATAACTTTGAATAGGTTGAAATTTATTGCTTGGCGTGTTTTTATTTTCATCATTATCATCATCATCATCATTATAATCTTGTTAGACTTAGAGATCAGATCTTTCCGAAGAGATAATAGGGAGCTTAAGCAACAGCGTTTTTGAGGGACGGACGTCAACCGGAAGTGGACTTTTTGCATCATTGGGGAGCGGTTTGGTTGAAACTCTCGGGTAAATCGTCTTTAAAAGAGAAAAGAAACTCAGCAATACAAGTTTGTTAGCGTCAAGGCATATAAAAAGGGAGAGGGCCTCACTTCCGGTTGAGAGCGTCGCTCAAAAACGTCTTTGCTTAAGGTCCCTATTGTAAGTGTTTTTACGTCAACGTTTTCTTTTCCTACAAGCTTAAACAGTTCGGACGCACCTTCCCGCCCCTGATTTTTTTTTTTTGTCATGAAAAGTTAAATATTACTGCCGGTAAACTTGATTATTAAAATCGCAGCCTCATTGCGTGTACAGTGGATCAATGCGGGGTACCTCAAGGCTCTATCCTTACACTCTTCCTGTACCTACGTTGACTACGTTTTACTAGTGCATCACTGGCTAACGTTCTGCGATATTATAAACTGCAATTTGATTTCTTCACGGATGATACTCAACTATACGTGAATTAGCCAATATTATGGCTAAAATTCAGGATTGCCTGTCTGATTTTGGGCAGTGCATTTCCTCTCTATCTCTTCTCGAAAGACTGCTCACTACAGCTTCTACCAATACTTCGCTTTGAAAAAGATGTCATTCATGCAACCGTCTCAGTCTGCCAGAAATATGGCTGCCATTTTTAACAATACTAGACTGTCTAAAACTGTGAAAGGTTTGAACCCAGGAGTCATTTCAAAAGTAGGTTGAGTTTGATCGTCCGGGTGAACGTAGTCCTGAATAGGACTGTTGCTGTTGAGAGTGCCTGACGTTTCGACAACCTGTGCAGGCGGTAGTCATCTTCAGAGTCAAAGTGAGTTGTATCACGTCAGTTGATGGTATTATACTCTGGTTATTGATCTGATTTGTTATCTGATATCATTTCATGTCGTGAAAAGGCTTGAAAATGTTCAGAATGCTGCTGTCCGCCTCATGATTACATGCTCCCGTAGATACGATCACATCACTCCAATTCTGTCCTATCTAAACTGGCTTCCTGTTTCGGAGCGCAGGTAGGTGAGGTAACCTGCTTAGGTGGGGTGACCCGTTTGTCCATATAATCTCTCATTTTAATTTGATCACGTTTACATGATAGGTGGGGTGACCTGCCACATGTTACCTCACCTACCTGGGGTCCCCCACCTCCATGTAAACAGGCCCTTAGTATTTCGCCACACCCAGTCAAGAAACATCCGCGCGCGGCCCCGGCAGAAATTTTATCTTGCAATTTTTCGGCGTGACCAATTAAATCATAGTTAGATGGAAGTAATATCAACAAATGGAAGTGGACAGTTATTTATTTTTCGAGAAAATAACCATTCCATTCGCTTTTGACCTCTTAAAATCATTATCAAGTCACGTTTACCCCTATGCTTGTCCAAAGGGGACAATTTATATGCATCAGTTGCTTTTTATACTAAGGGTTCTTAAAAAATGCCCGAAAGTTTGTATCATGCGCCATTTTTTCCCAATTTATGCAAGCCTGTCATAATCTTGATGTATACATGTATGTGGATCTTGATGCGTATACGTCTTTAAAATTGTACTTAACTATTTTATCATGTAAGTGCTCATTTTGATGTAAATTATGAGGAAGGTGATAAATATTGCAATTCAATGTTAGATGTGATGCACTCGTATGCGAATCTTGGTATGCTTGTGTAAATCTTGATATTGTCTCAGACGAATTTACATCTTGACATAGCCAAACTAATCTGTGTGAAAATTAGTGATATAAATAAAACTTGCTATAATTATTGTCTATTCCGCACTAGCCTCCCACGCAGGCGTTTTTAGGGGAGCTCGTATTTCTTCCCTCCCCACAAACGCCTGCTCAACGGAAAACAACATTCCTTTCTCATTGTTTTATTTGCGTGGTAGGTGACCAATCAACAATTGTGCAATGAAGTGTTGACTGGCTAAACACGACTGAACGTGACCTTAGAGTTACCGTTTTCCTTCTTTTCTTTCCTTCGCTAAGGTTATGCAGTGCACGGAGTATTCTGAATTTTGACTAAAACTTATTTTTGCCGCTCTGAATCTAACATTTATTGCAGGTCAGAAAGCTTTCCCAGTGTTTAATGCAGATCGAGTAATTATCAGATTACCTTGCGGTCAAGGTCAACTTTCCAGAATTTGGAAAGTACAATGTGATTGGCTAAGCTTGGGAAAGGAATGTTGTTTTCCGTTGAGCAGGCGTTTGTGGGGAGGGAAGAAATACGAGCTCCCCTAAAAACGCCTGCGTGGGAGGCTAATTCCGCACAAGCACACACTCCGTTTTCTGGGCATTTGGAAAGTCACGCATTTGGTGGCTCGAATACCTTTGATTGTCGCAGTATTAACACCTCTTGTGTGCTTTTTCCATGTGAACAACAATGTTTTTCCATAAAATAAAAATCTAATTCCATAATGTTGGATAAAAAGTAGGTTAATTCCGTGTGCGAAACGGAATAAATCAGGGTCACACCCCTACCTAGAATTCCCCGGAGTACCACAGAGTCACACATCTGCTCACATGCTCCATTGCACTCGGACTATATAGACAACGGCACTTGGCATGATGGCTCGAATACTTTTGATTCTCGCAGTTTTAATACCTGTTGTGTGCTTCTTACTTGTGAAATATCAGGATGCGGATTTTGTGCTCATGATTTACGAAGTAATAGGTGAAAATCCTGCTGTAGTGTTGCGCGGCAAAGTTGTGTGGATCACGGGAGCTTCCAGCGGCATTGGTGAATATCTAGCTTACGAAATGGCTAAATGTGGCTCTAAGTTGGTGCTTTCTGCACGAAGGAAAGTTGAATTAGAGAGAGTCAAGAAAAACTGTGCAGGTAGGACTACCACATTATGAAGCAAATATGAGTGTAACTGTTTGGTGATAGTGATCCGCGCTGGTTCACATATACGGTTTTCAAAATACTAGATGCCCGGCAGTCAGAAATTCACGTCCATTTTGCACGAAATATCTCATTTAATTTGTGTAATAACATCAGGAAGTTGTTTAGAATAATCAAGCGATTTCAAACACTGCTTTGGGCTTGACATAGAGGCAACTGTCGAGCCTGGGCATGGAGTGAAATCTTTATAGTTTCGACACTTCAAATATTTGCGTCACGCAACCGTAGCGCTACACCGGAAATTTACACAGCCGTTATTAGTGTCGCCACGCAACGCGTAACGACACTAATAACAGCTGTGTAGCAGACTACTGCCGAGTCGACAAATTGTAAGTTAGAGGAACATTGCTAGAGGATATCTGGTAAGACTATAGACTCTTTATAATTTTACGCAGAAATCGAGTAGACTCAGCAGATGCTGAGAAAGATTGATTTCCGACTGCCGGGCATCTAGTATTTTGAAAAGCGTACCCGTGTACCCGTGAGTGAAGATTCTAAAGAATATGCTTAATGCAAGCTCGGAGAATTTGTCCAATACAATACGAAACCTTTATTTAGAATCGCTTGGCATTTCTGAACAAACGGAGGATTTTGGGGGAGATCAGTCGTAACTGAGAACCCAAAAGAGGGGATCACTGAAATCACTGAAAACTTTGGAAGGATTCATAGGGGGGACCACTCAAATTTGCTTGGAAAATGAAGACATTGCGGGGTTGTGGGGGTGGGGGGGCACGAAGGTCATCAAATGTTATTAGTGATGTAGCATTCAAAGGGGGGACCGGCTAAATTTCACCTTGTTTAGCCCCAAATCCTCTGCCTCCTCCCCCCGCCCCCCCTTCCGTGATAAATAATGACCGGTCCCTAAAATGAAGGGGTGAAAGGGGTTTTGGTGTGATACGGGATTAATTACGGAATTAAGTGTTTTTTAACCTTCGTAAATGGTGAAAATACGAAATTTCTGTGAAACGTGAAAATAGAATTTTAGTCACCGTGATGCATTATTTCTACCTTTCAATGTCCGTGAAATGTGCACAGTACCCCCCCCCCCCCCCCTCAATTCTGAATGAAAGAGTATTCGAACTTTGTTATTCTCGGCCTTAACAATCTCTTTGTAATACGAATTTGGGCATCAGTGTTTATGACCCTCTCTAAGACAAATTTACTCGCCCAGTATAATTGAAATCAAAGTGTACCGGGGCTATAATGGACGAGTAAAACCAGTTAAAGTTGTAAAAAAAACGTACCCTGTCCAGCAGCGAGTGTATAGGTGAAAGTATAAGGAAGTACCCCGTCTTGGGAGACCCTGAAGTCTTAATATCGTCTGAAAACATTGAAAAGTAGCAAACGTTTGTATCTATCGATCTTGTTATGTCTTTCCCACCAGCAATTTCACTTGCCATTGATCCATCGTTTAATCAAGATCAAGATATTCTAGTTCTTCCTCTGGACTTGCTGAAATATGACACTCATGAAAAACTTGGACAAGATGTCCTCAACCATTTTGGAAAGGTAACAAGTGACAAGTCATAGGGCTTTAAATGGGATCATTATACTTCTCTGGGAAACTGCCCACCTACCCCTCCCCTAAGCCCAAATTTGCCCTAAGTGACAGGTAAGTGTTAATGTTGAATTAGGGGAGGGGTAGGTGGGTAGTTTCCCAGAAACGTATAAGGGATCCCGGAATCTTGGGCTTTTGGAATCCAAAACACACCCCAAGGAATCAGGAATCCCGGCCAATAACGATTGGAATGTGGAATCCAAGTTCCACGAACAAAAAATTTGGAATCCACTACTTGAAATTCGGAACCCATGGTTGCATAGAATCCAGAGTCCAAGACTGCCTGTAATCCCTTACGCCGAGGTGAAAATTGGGCTGATCGATGGACAAATTATGCCCATTTGAGGGTACTGACAGTTACAAAGGTCATTACCAGTGCCCCCCCTTATTTATAGACCAAGATGAGGCCCGAAGGGCCGAAAAAAATTTTTTTTTGAGGCCGCCCCCCCCCCCGCTTATCTCAGGGTCTGGATGACCCCCCCCCCTCCAAGTAAACGAGTTAGGTTTCCCTATCAGCTCTATCAGTAGGGGTCTCTCACGGCAAGAAAAAAAGAAGGGGAAAGAGAGAGACTTCTGCCGGCCTCTTTCTACAGAAAGAGAGTTACGGCTCCTTTTAAAAAGAGACAAAAAAATGATAGGCCGCACACTCGAGAAGAGGAGATGAAAATTTACATCTCTGGGAGCTCTAGCCTTAGGGCAAAAGCCGCCATGTTTTAATGTGCGCGCGCACAAAGGGATATATATCGCAAACGCCTTCCAAATTTGGTCAACTTTAGATGGTTATAAAGTATTAGCAGCAGGATTTGAGCCAACCGGATGTAGCAGCGTTCCACGCGATTTTACAGCCTCTTGCTTCCTTTTCAGGTTGATATTTTGGTTAATAATGGTGGGCGGACACAAGTTAGTTTAATAAGAAAGACTTCACTGGAAGTTGAGAGAGCTGTTCTGGGCTTAAATACTGTTGGTACCATTTCCTTGACCAAAGCAGTTCTTCCTCAGATGATCAAACGCCGTGCAGGACAGATTGTCTTTGTGAGCAGCATTTTCGGAAAATTTGGTAATCTTGATTTTTTTCAGTATATTAGGCAGCTAACGCAACCTCGACAACGAGAACGGCAAAACAGCAATAGGTTTAGATTAGCAAAACAACAACTTTGCACGTGCATCACGCTTTTGTGTATATTTCTTTGCCGTCGTTGTACGAGCACGACCAAGGGCCTGTTTACATGGAGGTGGGGGACCCAAGGTGGGTGTGGTAAGATGTGGTGGGTCACCCCGCCTGTAATGTAAATGTGATTAAATTAGAATGAGAGATAAAATGGACTGGCGGCTTACCCCACCTAAGAGGGTAACTTCGCCTTCCTTAACCTGCGAGAAAGCTCCCCGGGGCTGCTCTGGCGGCAGAAAAAGAGCTGGAATTCCGCCTCCAATTCCCCTGTGGCTGCCCATTGACTGAGCTGTCAGATTTCCGCCAATCAGCGCAAAGCGAAAACGAGCGCGAATGTAAACAAAGATTAAAAGACACGTACCAAGAGTAATGACGTCATCACTAATGTTATCTCCGCCAATCAGCATTTCGCATCGACTTTTTTCGATGCAGATATTCAAATTCCAGAGACGTAGTTGCAAGCTCTCCTTTCTTTTCCAGCCCCGCCGCCAGAGAGCTTGATCTCATGCTACGCCTACTTGGGGTCCCCCCAGCTCCATGTGGACAGACCCTAAGACTGCGTTATTTCACGTTTTTTGGAGGTCGTGAGCATAATACAACGATTTTCTAAGGAATCTGGATATTTTTTTGAAACCACCTACTTTTTTACACGAATCGGCTGCACGAAACCGCTGAATCCGGTCACCGAAACCGCATTGTTTTGAAACCGTTCCCGCCAGAGCAGTTTAAGATCCCATTCACACGAATCCGGAGAAAAAGTATGCGCTTTCAAAAAAAGTCCGGATTATACAGACAAATACAGTCTTTTAAAAGTCAACTCCAGAAAAATTGAACGGTATGAATAAGTGAGATGAATTTTTAAACAGCGTAAATTCACTAATATTGTCAAAAAAATTTGTCCCCACCGTCGTCGTCGACCTCGTTTCGTTGCTTAATATTCTTATTAACTCACAACAAGAAAGGATTATCCTCAGTTCTTGCTCACAAGGCGACGGAAATACTTAAAAACTTTAAGTGGCTGACGCTCAAATCCCATGAGCATTCCTTGCTTACCAAATCGTAACCTCCTCCTCGCCCACCCCCCCACTCCCCTCAGGGGAGGCGCGCCCCATCCATGCATTCACTCGTGCACCCACTCACTCATTAACTCTTTCACCCAGTCACGTAACCACCTACCCACACATATATCTTACAAGGAGTCTGAGCACCGAAGCTATTTTCAGTTCATACACGCATTTCGATAGGGTTACTATACAACAATTTCCAATACAGTGAAAACAGGGGCCCATAACCCGGAGCAAGCAACTCCCATACTAGGTCTATGTCACGGCGTCTTTACGGACCAGTTTATTTTTAGACACATTTTCGGGCACTTTTTCCCGCGAAAATAGAACGTCCACCACGTCTATGAGCGCATTCGAAGGTTAAGATATCAAAAAGGAACACTAAACGTTATTAAAAGGCAAAAAATATCATTTTTGGGTCTGTAGGTTTGCTGACTGGTTTGTGGAATTAAAAAAGATATTTAAAATTCGCGCTAAAATCGTTCTAAAAATAAACTTGTCCGTGAAAAAGCCGGGACACCAACGCATAGAAGTTGCTCGCTCCGGGTTATGGGCTCCTGGTCAAAACGAATACTTTAGGTTTCCTGGTGCACTAGAGTCGAGGAGTCGAGCTAGTAAGGTGCCTACTAAATATATATTAAAAAGCTTCCACTTTTGCAGAGACTATACAGTTGTAGCTTAACACTAGAAAACCTTTTGTTGAGTGAGGAATTTCACCATAAATCAAAGTTTCGTAATAATTTTCAATTGATGTTTTTTGCAATTAATATTTGGTATTAGAATCTTCGGTGGGTGACAAATTAAAATTACAAGACATCAAAAATGTGCGTTCCAAAATTGGCGTAAGTTATGTCCACAATTATTAATTATAGTACTTGTCCAAGTTCAAGACAATCATTTTCTACCAAAGGAAGTAAAAAGATTGTATCAATTTGAAAGGTATCAGTTTCCCTAAATTATTTGATTCATTATATATTTTTTTGAACGAACTATAGATAGTAGTGTAATCAGAACTATTTTTTTAAGTATAATCTTCTGAATACCTTTCTCAGGCTGAATTTAATGTTTTACATATTTTTTTTACCTCAGGGTTTCCTTATCATAGCACATACAGTGCTAGTAAACATGCATTGCACGTACGTATATATTTACTGCTTATTTATTTTGTATGTTTATGCTCCTGTTGATCCTGATTTTGCAGATGTCTTGATAGTTGTATTTTGAGATGGTTTAACGTCATGCTCATTTTAATATTTAATAGTTAGCTTAAAATCCGAGAACAGTGACGGCGGAGAAGACGACCCTTAAAAAGAGATTTCACGTTCGTTCAATCTCCACTTAGAGCTCGAACTACTTAGACCCCGTCTATGTGAACAAAAGTTGTCGCGGGAAAGAGGGTCACCGCCCTCCCTGCCGAGTCAACTTACTCTAGCTTATATATGAAAAAAAAGTTGACCCTTTGCCCGAGCCAACAGCGCTCGCGCATGCTCAGGATTGTCTCGCCTTGACCGAGCTGACCCGGCTGGGAGAGCCCAAAGTGTTTGTATGGAGAAACGCTGGCCCGGCTAGGAGGATGCCCGTACGTACCATCTAAAAGGGGTTACCCAGGTAGGCGGGCCACTCTTCTACCGAGCCAATTGCGCTATCCAATGGATAGCGATTTATCTAGTGGATAGCATTATCCACCTTCTGAAAAACTGGGGCCAGATATATATTAATTGAACAAGTCTTTGGCTTCAGTCTTCAGTTAGGTTTGACCTCCGACTTTGTTTCTTACAAGCTTATGTTATAGAAACGTCTCAAAGTTCATTGAAATTAATAATCAGATATAATCTTGAGATAATAATTTAATGATTTAAAAATTTTCATGACGTGATGATCAACTGCGCATTACAGAGATGTATAGAATACATATGTAAAAGTTACATCAAGTTTCAAAGTTAAAAATAGATAAATAAATGACTAATTAAAAGTAAAGAAAATGTCATCATGCATCAATCAAACCTAAGAAAAAGCCTCGCCAAAAAAATAGGTTTTAAATAAAGAGGTTTTTTTAAAATGGTCAACAGATTTGGCCGTCCTATTTTTAATAGGTAGACTGTTCCAAAGCTTACGTGCCGCGGCAATTGCTCAGGCAAAATCCAATCACCTATTTCCTAGGCACCCCGTTATTTATTGTTTACATAAAAATACAAAAATGCATTCTTTCCTGTTCATATCAGTGCGATTTATTTCTTTACTAGGGTTACTTTGACACAGCTCGCCTTGAGTTGGCGGAGTACAACATTGGCGTGCAGATCGTCTGTCCAGGACCTGTCATGTCGGACGTATTAAAGAACGCCTTTACTGAAGACATCAACAAGGTAATCAGCGGTTTGTGAATAGAAATGAGTAAAACATGTTCTGAAATACACCTCATTCATTCGCCCCATGAACGGGGATCCAGATTCCGGAATCCAGTAAATTTTTGCTGTGGAATCTGGAATCTTGTGCATTAGAATCCGGAATAACGTTCAAATTCCACTGACAAAGAACCCAGAATCCAGTACCTGGAATCCAGAATTCAATGTTTTGGATTCCCTTACTTGGGGCAACTGGGAGATAAAACTGACTGATCGCGTTCGTCAGAACGCAACCTAATCTTGTGTTCCTGTCACGGGCGACTGCAAATTAGCCGCCCCTATAGCCTACGTAGCAGGCGTCGAAAGGGGTAGGGGGTAGGGGATAGGGAGGAAGGGAAAAAAGGGGAGGGGATTGGGGAGAGGGGGAGGGGACGCCTGCTCTTAGAACCCCCTTTTGTTCATATCTGCGGACGCTGGCGTCCGCAAATTCCTGATTGGCTGAGCCGTAATGAGTAACATATTGAAATGCGCGTTTCACAAATCAACAACAGTCGAGATGGCAGCGGTAGACGTGGATGTCGTAGAGAGTGCTTTGAGAGATGTGAATTTATCTAGTGGTAGAGAAACTGTTTTAAAACCAGAGCAAGAATCAGCAGTAAGGGCTTTTTTAGCCGACAGAGATGTTCTGGCGGTTTTGCGGACCGGATACGGCAAGACTTTAATTTACCAAATGTTTGTACGCGCGAAGAACTACGAGCTAAAAGGTAATGCGGCTATTCTCGTCATTTCGCCACTGAAAAGTATTATCCAAGACCAGTTGCAGGAGATAGAATTGTTGGGCTACCCAGCGAAAGATTTAGCCAATTTATCGAACATTCGCCGATGTAACTTAGTAATAAAAGAGGGTGGTTTTACCTCATGCCAAAATGCTGCTTATTCCAATAAAGTTGTTTTTACCTACTGGGTAGATTATGCTCTGGAAGGTTCTGCATTTATACTGAGCAAATGTTATTTTAGCCGCATGTTTCACACTGAGAGTTCATGACATACATATCGATTGACCGTAGTTATTGTTTTCTGGTCGGCAGGATTTGCCCTCTGATGCAAGCGCAATTTCTTTGACCTCTTTTGAAGCGTAAAGCTTTTTTTTATTACGGCTGAATAAGGGTTCCAATATTCTCCAAAGTGCCTTCTGGATCTCAATAATTAAGCGCATTTCTTTAGTCCGTGAGTGTAATGTTTTCCTGCAATGGCGAGAGTAGCGACACTTGATTGACAGTAAGCGTAATCGGATTACTAGAAAATTGGTAGGTGTTATGCAAAAACATAGGCTCTTAGAGCAAGCGCTCCCTTCCCTTTTCCCTTTCTCCCCTCCCCCCTCCCCTTTTGCGCCCGCCACGCAGGCTACCGTCCCTATTAATCTCGGCCGGGAAACTGGACCCCTTTCGACTCGAGTGACGAACGCGGATCCGTAATCAATGATTACCTCTAGTTTACACTTGAAAGGGAGAAGGGAAAGGGAAAGCAATGAGCCTAAATGCCCGTGATACAGAAGTGTTCGTATTATTATTGTGTAGAAAATATTGTGAAGCTTGGCCGGTATATTTGACTGAAACTGAATTGTCCAGTCTTCTTCTGCATGTTGTTGGGTATATAAATTGTTTGATTTTTATGGTTTTTTGAGAGAAGAGGAAACTGCAATTAATCACAATAGACCTTTCCACGGTTTTTTTTTTTTTTTAACTTTTGACATGGACAAGTTAGGGAAAATCCGTCGACCCCGCTGGTAAGAGCGCCTTTAAATTAGCAAAACTGCCAAGTTTGAAAGTGATTTGTCGAAAACTAACGAAGATATATATAGGTCCGCAAAGTTGTGAAAATTTACAAACCTTTGTATTGTGGTGGGATGTAAATGTGAAGTTCGCAGATTTTTTGGAGCTATATCTAGCTTCGCTCGCTTAAGACACTTCACTTTGAAACTTGGCAATATTACTAGTTTTAAGGAGCCTCAAAGCTCCTCAAGGTGACGGATTTTCCCTAACTGATCGATGTCAAACGTTGAAAAAACCGTGGAAGGGTAAAATCAAAATAGAGTCATTACGCCTCACCGACCTACAATGTACCCTAAATACAATCATCATAATAACGTAACGCTGAACTTAATTTAAAACTCTGAAACAACAGCACGGAACAATAATCATTTGTCTTCCTTCTTCTGTTTAGTGAAGTGCCTCAGCATATTTTTTGTTTAAATTTCAGCCTCTTAATGGTTCAAACCTTATGGAGAGAATGCCATATATGTCAACTGAACGCTGTGCAAAGTTGATGGCAGTAAGCATGGCCAACAATTTGGATGAAGTCTGGATATCAAAGCATTCACCTCTTGCATCAACCTATTTAAGCCAGTACTCTCCAAACTTCTTTAGATGGTATATTTTGTTTAGTGTATTTAACAATTATTCCTCGAGCCCGAAAGGGCTCTGAGTCAATAGCCCATGAGGCCGAAGGCCGAATGAGCTATTGACTCAGAGGCCATGAGGGCGAGAGGAAAAATTGTTTTAGTGAAATCCAACTAGTTGGTAAAAAAATATCGAGACGAAACAGCTTTAGCTAGATAAAGCTAGACTTTAATCCTTTTTTGCCGCCAAAAAGCCGGCGCTATTCGCTACGAGTGGGCTATAACATATAGCCTAGTAGTACCTTAAACAATCAGAACGCAGCATTGATAATAGACCACTAGCTGGATTTTACTAAAACAACAATATTGAACTTTAAAAGATAAACACTGGTTCGATAACAATAAAGGGCCCGTCTCTTTTACCAAGAAATTCCGGTTGGGGTGTAAATGGAGCAGACGCACACACGTTTTTTACGCGGCGTTCCTCGGAAAATTCTCGTTAAACAGTGAAAATTTGAAAAGGTAGTCCTGTCTTCCCGGTGGGAATTTATCCGGGAGAAATGCGTGTTCCACTTATGACTTTTCACAACAATTCTCCACCATGTTGAATTTGGCCGAGAGAGGTGAATTACTTTCTTTACCCGATGGACGTTTTCGTCGCATTTCCGGACATTTTTGGCAAAAAAAAAAAAATGGAAAACACTCAACAACTCTGCACGTGCATCACACTTCTTCGTCTACTTCTTTTACATTCACTGCACGACTAGGACGTGAAACGTCTTAATGCCCGGTCTGATGGACTGGAGGACGTCAACGAACGACGACAATTTTTTCTCTCTTTTTCTTAATAAATTTGGATGAGTCCTTTAGAATCCAGTTGCCCAAAAAATTCGTCCGGACACACTGAGCGAAGCTAAATAAACGCGATAGAGTTTTAAAGAATCAAAATTCATTTTTACGTGAATTTTTCACTGCCGTTGTCGTAAAGGTAGCTAATAAGCTCCCTGATTACCCCATCATCGATATCGCAACATTAATGACACAATTAGCCATCTAGTCTGTTGTTCACTTTTTTCAAACGACGAATGTAGTTTGATTATTTTATCGTTGTTGCTCATATGGTAACTAACACCTCCTTTGTCTTTTTCTACATTCAGGATTTCGAAGAAGTCTGCTATGAAGGTGACAACAGAGATCTATGGTGACTCCCAGAAGATAAAGCATGAATAGTACCTCTTAAAGACAGGGGGCTCTTAAGGACTTCCCCCACCAAAAAAGTTAAAGATTATGAATGTGTTAGCCAACTCCTCAATTTTGTCAGACACCCTACTATACTTTAAGTATTTTTCGCTTTATAGTAGCCTGTTCTAGGCTCCAAAAATGTATCGCGAAAAGTTGCGCGAAAACCGGTATACCTCATTCCGGTATACGAGCTCCTGGTATACCCTATGATTGGTGAATGGCGACAGTATACTTCAACACTTACGTCAGTCATTTGGTTTCGCGCGCAGAGTCTAGCAAACATGTCGAGCATGTGAATCCCTACTACACCACACTTTTTGACGTTTGACATTTTGAAGCAAGGAACTGTTTTTTACGATGTGGTGGTTGGGGGGTGGGGGGAGGGGGTAGTCTGCGCGGATTGAGGTATTTGAAAAGATGCTTACAGGCTCTCCCCTTCCCTCTTTCCGCCGTTTTTCTCTCGTTGGTTTTTCACCGCTCGCTCGTTTTTTTCGCTCTGCCGCACTGACCGAGAGCTTGGCACAGGGTACTTTACAGCTACTTTGAAAGGAATTTGGATTCTGCCGATAAATCCAGCCGGAAACAGTGTGACGTCATGATGACGACACACCATGTCATTGTGTCAATCAAGTTATGCTTAGATGTTGGAAATGATGAGTACATTATACTTCTACACTCGCCCTGGCATGCAGGCCCTCATCTCACCCCAAACTACAGTGATATGACAGTTGCGATGAACCCATGTACCCTACCGTATAAAGTACCAATCAGCACATCGTCAAAAAGCTACAATCTGTACGGAATGCTGCTGCTTTCCTCAGTACAGTCTGCTGCAAATACAACCACATCACTCTAATTTACTTTCCGTTCTGCACAAACTTCTTGTTTCCTAGCGCTTTTTTGCTCACCTCTACACACGAACAGTCTCCTACCTACATTCAAGATTTAGTAACTCGCTACACACCGTCACGATAACATGAACGACCCCTAACTCTCTAATTTTTCTCGGACTCGCAATCCGGCGGTCCCGGGTTCGAGTCCCGCTCTGGCCACTTGCTGGATTTGTTCTCAGTCGTCCCGAGTTCCCGCTCGGCCACGCTTGTAAATAGCGAACTGGATGCCTCCTGCTGGTTGGGGTTGGTAATCCTGTTATTAAGTTGTATTTGAATTATTTGTTTCAAAGTTTTTGAGTGGAGTGCCTGTAAACTAGCTAGATAAGCTAAGTACACTTTCCACAATTAACAAGCCTTTAAGTCGCCCATTTTGGCGTAAACCAGGTTATGAGCCGCTGATCAGGGTATGGTTTTCAGGCTCATGTGTCTTAAACACGATCAGTACAATTTCGAACAGCGTGTCTTTTTGGACCGGAGGCCTTTAAAAGAGTGTATGTTGGCGATGAATGGTCTAAATATGTGGTACCAACAATATTTATCCAAAAAATCTAATTCCATGATGTTTGTTTGAAAAATTACCTAATAATATTGTGTGCTAAACAATACGAATCAGGGTCAAAAAAGGTCTCTTGTCTTAAACGAGGGTCTCAATGGGGTTTATCGTCAGCCGTCAAAGGGCCTCAAAATCAACCGTCAAAAAAGGCCAAGTTATTTTCAACCGTCTACTGTCAAAAATGCAGGTTTATATTAACCGTCAAAAAGTTTCAAAGTGTTTCAAATCTCACTATTTCAGCTGATTTCCACGGAATTCTTAATTCCGGCTCCTAGAGAATGTCTATCCTGCAAAAAAAACTTCCCGTGTTCTCAAAAACACTCTTTCTAGACAATACAATACCTAACAATCTGCTTATATCTGAAAATATTTCAAATTTCTCCAAGTGGAAGGCCAAGACAACCTTCAAAACACAACAGTGGATATTAACTCATACAGAAGTTAATAATTACGTCAACTTTTGGACTGGTACCACCCCATAGACACCCTCTTAAACAGGGTAGCGAAATAAAATATTTTTTGTCTTAGTTAATCAGGGTCGTGGTTTGAAAGCCCCGGCGGAACACCTCTACCTAAACTACCCTTGAGCCTCCCTCCCCTCCCTCCCCCCCCTTCCAGTTCCTTCCCCTTTGACCTCTTTCGAATCATCCACGAAAGTCACGCGTCTGATCAAACGCTACATGCCTCAGAACCAGACGACGCCACTTAGCATGATGGCTCGAACACTTTTGATTCTCGCAGTTTTAATACCTGTTGTGTACTTCTTACTTGTAAAATATCAGGATGCAGATTTGGTGCTCATGATTTACGAAGTAATAGGTGAAAATCCTGCTGTAGCTTTGCGAGGCAAAGTTGTGTGGATCACGGGAGCTTCTAGCGGTATCGGTGAATATTTAGCTTACGAACTGGCTAAATGTGGCTGTAAGTTGGTGCTTTCTGCACGAAGAAAAGTTGAATTAGAGAGAGTCAAGAAAAACTGTGCAGGTAGGACCAACACCTGATAAAATAAATATGAATGTAAGTCTTTGGTGATGGTGGTTAAAATAGACCAAATAGGTAAGATTAATTTATACGTTAGCGAGGCCAGACTGTGCAAGTCATGTGAAAATAACCACCTGAATCACGCGAGCCATGTGAGTCACGCGAGCCACGCGGAAGCTATAACTCGACCCAGGCGTCTCTTATCATTTGTACGCGATTGCGAATCGTTTGCGAGACACTAAGGAGCATAGTATCTTGATCTGCGAAGATTGTAAGCCTGGTTTTCATATGTCGGGGAAAATCCCAGACGATCGGGGATTTTACAGCTTTCCAACCGTTCCAGATTTTGCCCAGTAATGAAAACTCGAAATCGTAGATATCTCGGATCGTCTGGGACGGACAGGGACAAATCTGAAGAATTGGGAAAGACTTCCGGCGATTATCCAACATATTGACAAAATCTGGAACGGTCGGTAGAAAATGAAATACCCGATCGTCTGGCAATTCCCGACACAGGAAAACAAGACTTTAGACGCCACGACAGCGACGAGAACGAGAACCTCAAAAAAGCAATAGGTTGAATAGGCAAAACAAGAAAGCTGCACGTACATCACGCTTTTTTTTTTCAGTTACATTTCTTTGCCGTCACTACACGATTTCGAACGTTTTATGGGGGACGTAAACAAGTGACGACGAAATTTTTTTCTCTCTCTGAACTTGAATGTGGTTGTCAGGAATTCGGCTCCAAAAGAGTTCGCTTGCATTTGACAAAGAACGCGAGTTGAAATAATCCGAATAGAGATTGAAAGAACGCAAATTCACTTTTTAACTGACGTTTTCGTTGCCGTCGCCTAAAATCACAATTTTAACAAATTCTCTCATCTGACTGGGCTATGAGCAGCCCTGGGTGAACCATCATGCACGCTCTCTTGAGTCTATAAATGTTTAGTAAGTTATTCACTTATTTTACGTGTCGCAAAAAGTCTCGGAAGATCTTGTGTTGTAACCTGTGAAATTTTCAAAAATGCTTAAATGATTTCTGCCTTACTTCGTGTCTATCGCGATCGCTTATTTTGGGGGTATTTGAGTCTCCAGCACCCAGCGTTAGAAGGCCGTGCTTTGGCCTGTGGCGGAGGAGGCAGAAATGATCACATTACTGTTGGTATTAAAAACTGAATGGATAATGCATAATGCAATTCTAGAGCTCTGGCTACCATGCTCTCAAAATATAACTGTACGTGTCTGCTCAAAATTAAAAACAAGCTGAAAATCGGTTGTTTTGACAAATAAAGTCGGGAAGATTTCTCGATATTTTGCGGGCGTTTTTGATAAAACAATTATTCCACTCGAGGTTGTTGGATATGAGATAATCTCCTTATGACGCCGCGCATGTCCATTACCTCGCACGCACGAACTTCATTAATCATACGTTTTTATTTATTCTTGTTTATTTATTTATTTTGCCACTCATGTCTATCTTATATCAATTCTGAAAGGTTAAAGTAGACTAGTAACAGGAAGACCTCTGCAAGACATAAACAATCTTTGACGAGGAATTCAGCGATATAAATATTCTACTTGCAAGCGAATGGCTTATTATCTACGTACTGAGCTCGATCTTTATACTACATGTCTTTTCCCAACGTAACAGCAATTTCACTTGCCCTTGATCCATCGTTTAATGAAGATCAAGATATTCTAGTTCTTCCTCTGGACTTGCAGAAATATGACACTCATGCAAAATTGGCTCAAGATGTCCTCAAGCATTTTGGAAAGGTAACGGGAAACAAGAAATAGCAAGGGCACCCAACGAGAATATAGTTCAAAACCACTTAAACATAGAATTGTTCAACGTATTTTAGTATTTAAGGTGGCTCGACTGGATTTTTTGGGGTTGATACCTCCCAACTTTGAGCATTAACTACGTCGGCATGAGTAAAGATATGGAAAAAAGGTTACCACAACTGTATTATATAAAGATGAAAATTTCTTATGATCTGGGTTTTATTGCAATCGGAGTCGCCATGGCAACGTAATGACGCCATTACGTTTTTCATTTATCTTTGTGTTTCTCTGTTCCAGGAGTTTTTTGAAGAAATCGCTTAAGGGAGTATGTACCTGCTATAATTGCCTCCATTATGGCGTAGTTTGAACAAATTCTATGAGAGCGTTTTCGAAATATTTTGAAATGTAGTTTTAAGAATAATGAAAACAGTGAAATAGCATGCTAGCCTCACAATTCGCTAATATTTTAAGAAAATGATAAGCTTTGAGAACGAGGCTTCATCTCATAGTGGTTTGATTCCATAGAAAACTGCATACGAAAAAAGAGGGGAATTGCTCTAGGCGATCGCGAGTAAGAAGAATTTTATTAACTTGCATTTAGCTGTTTTTGATACAGTTTTTGGACGTAATTTGGTCCATGCCTAAAAATTTCGCATTTTTCCAAAAACCGCTCGATAAATTTTTTTATAAATTCGATAATGCCGAGATCAATCGTCAAGAAATGTTCCCTGCAAGTTTTAAGAACATTGAAAACAGGGAAGGCTTTTAAATAGGGCCTCAGATATAGCCAATTTTCCCCCCAGATTTTGTGTTTACGAGTGAGCGTCCTCATTATTCACTGGCATTGTTTTCAAGTTTCATATACACGTGCACATTTAGCAAAACGATAGAATTTGCATCAAAAAGGACCCTCGGTTACATCTCCGGGATATGCTAATTACCGGGTAAAGAGATTAATGATACATTATAACATCAGAGCAACTCTTTGTGAGAGTTTCTGTGATGTTACAAACCCGAGTAAGATAATTAAGTATTCCATCCTACACGATGAGCCGTGACGTTCACCGTTTCGGCTCTCATTGCTATCTGTGACGACAAGCCAATTATTAGCGTATTCTGGATATTTCTTCGGAAAGTAATCGAGAGTTCTTTTTGATGCAAATTTATATCTTTTGCTAGTTGTGCACGTGCATATGAAACTTGAAAACAGTGCCAGTAAATAATGAGGACGCTCACTTGTAAACACAAAATCTGGGGGGGAAATTGGTTATATTTGAGGCCCTATTTAAAAGCCTTCCCTATTTTCAATGTTCTTGAAACTTGCAGGGAATATTTCTTGACAATTGATCTCGGGATTATCGAATTTATAAAAAAATTTATCGAGCGGTTTTTGGAAAAATGCGAAATTTTTAGGCATGGACCAAATTACGTCCAAAAACTGTATCAAAAGCAGCTGAATGCAAGTTAATAAAATTTTTCTTACTCGCGATCGCCTAGAGCAATTCCCCTCTTTTTTCGTATGCAGTTTTCAATGGAATCAAACCACTATGAGATGAAGCCTCGTTCCCAAAGCTTATCATTTTCTTAAAATATTAGCGAATTGTGTGGCTAGCATGCTATTTCACTGTTTTTATCATTCTTAAAACTACATTTCAAAATATTTCGAAAACGCTCTCATAGAATTTGTTCAAACTACGCCATAATGGAGGCAATTATAGCAGGTACATACTCCCTTAAGCGATTTCTTCAAAAAACTCCTGGAACAGAGAAACACAAAGATAAATGAAAAACGTAATGGCGTCATTACGTTGCCATGGCGACTCTGATTGCAATAAAACCCAGATCATAAGAAATTTTCGTCTTTATATAATACAGTTGTGGTAACCTTTTTTCCATATCTTTACTCTTGCCGACGTAGTTAATGCTCAAAGTTGGGAGGTATCAACCCCAAAAAATCCAGTCGAGCCACCTTAAACGGTAGATATAGGCATATTTTTATCCCCTGGAAATTTTTCATCTGTTCGGATTTCCTAGCTGAAAGTCAAGTGATCCGAAAATTATAGGGATCAAAACTTACCTTTTCGAAAATTTTAGCCAGAAAAAAGGCTCCCGAAAATTCTTGGTGACCTTTTTAGGGTAAAAATAGGCAATGATACCTTTTTTTAGATGTCCGAAAATCCTAGGAGAGGCAGGCAAGCAAGAAATTTTACAACAAATGTTCCGAAAATTCTAGATCTCAAATCGTCTTCCGAACAGATATTTTTCCGAAAATTGTCGTTGGGTGCCCCTGAAATAGGCTTGTAATAATGGCTGATCAATAGAGTGCACTAATATTATGACCAGTCGAGGTTACTGACAGTTATTAAAGCTCATTACAAGGACCTATGAGTATTAAAGGGAACGTCTACTCTTACTACAGAATAAGTTTAAATCGAATAAAATTATGTTGATAAACAAATTTGTTCGTCATTTGTCCTTAAAAAAAGTGTTTATATCAGGAAAAGTGAATTTTAAAATCGCTTATTTTCACTTTCAAATTTCGCGGGCGCCGCCATCTTGAATAATTGTGACGTGTTACGGTTGCTCTATTGTTCTGACACAAAGAGCTTTTGTTTAATAACAATAGGGCAACCGTAACACTTCACAATTATTCAAGATGGCGACGCCCGCAAAATTTGAAAACAAAAATAGGCGAATCTAAAAGTTATTTCTTTCGGATACAAACGCTTTCTTTAAAAATATTTTAGATTGACTTGACTGTAACAGTTATTTCCTGTGACTTAAAGTTATCTTTTTGTTGAAGTGGAGGTCCCCTTTAAACAGTCAAATCGTTGACTGAGGCTTTGTTCATGATTCTATACTGGATACCAAAATAATCAAGGTCGAGGTTTTCAACTGATCATGAGTAGTTTTTTGTCTCGATCTTGATTATTCCAGATATCACCAAACCCGAATCTAATAATTATTGTTTTATTACACATAATTGTTCAAAGAAAATAACGTCAAACACACTGTCGCACGCTGAATCAGTTTTCTTGGAAAAATCATGCCTCCGCTCGCAACCAACACATTAGTCAGTTATCCTATCTGCTAGCAGATACCTAACTTATCTGAGGGTGGTGCTGCTTTCCAAAATTAACTGTATGCCGTTAGCAATATAGTAATAAAGAGTGATAGTGAACGCAATGTGTAATATAAATTACCAGTTATATTGAATTCGGCCTTCGTATGATCTGAGAAACTTATGCAGATCATACGAAAGCCGTATCCAATGAGTGTTTTATTATCCATTCAAGAAAATTCAAACTTTAAAACATGCTTACCTCGATCGATTTTAACCCTCGGACGTACAAGGGGGGGTGGTTGCCACCCCCCTCTGAGGTTTTTCTTTGACAATAAAACATCAGCACCTGACGTTTTAAGTAGCTGTTCGTTTATCCCTCGCACCCATTTTGAGACAAGTGTAGTGAAGATCAGTTACTATGGCTGTGGTACGAGATATGACGTCATAAGTAGCGGGTGGTCAAGCCATTTTTGAGTGAAAATGCTTGTTTTCTCAACTTCTTTCAACAACTTAAAAGTAAAGATTAGGGATGAAATGATGCTAAGTGCTTATTTATGTGTTATTTTATATGTCAAGCACAAAAAATTACCATTTCTTGCGGTTTTAGCCTGATTTCCAATTCTTGATAAAATCCAAGATAACAACCATTGTTGGTGACTTCACAGGCCTCCAGCAGCGTCACCACCCATAAAATATACCTCATCTTGTTGAGAAGATCAAAGGCTTTCCACTGAAGGCAAAATCGCTTCCAAATACTGCAACATATCAAAAACTCTATGAAAGGGTTCCATGAACAACCGCCCCCCCTTCCTTGTACCGCAGTGGGGGTATGAATTTTCGTGTACGTCCGAGGGTTAAGTCTGATCGGTGTTTAGCAGATATTCTTCAAATAGCAGTTGAATAGCCGTTGAAATTTATTTCTGCTGTTCTTGCTGTGTGTTTAGGTAGAAGTTTATCCCGTCGTAAAACGTGTGAAATTTTCTGTCATTTTCCCCAGCTCTATATAAAAAAAACTCATGAACTAACACAACCTCAGATTCCCATAACCAGGGTTTCTCGGTTGCTGTCCTTTTTTGGGCGATAGCCTGAACTTTTGACGTCATTTTACCGGATATCATGAAGAATTATATTAGGTAAGGCATTTGAGTAAGTAAAGAAACGGAGCAATATTTTGAATGGATAATTTTATTAAAATTAGTTCTCTCTCATAAGTTAACAAACAATTATAGTACAGTCAATATCAATTTCTTTCCCTCTGATTTGTTACTTCACCTGATCTTTCTTTTCATGCAGGTTGATATTTTAGTTAATAATGGTGGGCGGACACATATTAGTTTGATAAGAAAGACTTCCTTGGACGTCGACAGAGCTATTCTGGGTTTAAATACTGTTGGCACTATTTCCTTGACCAAAGCGATTCTTCCCCACATGATCAAACGTCGTGAAGGACAGATTGTCATTGTGAGCAGCCTTCTTGGAAAGTTTGGTAATCTTGCTCTCAATCCGTACATTAACTCATATTAAATACCTCTAGAGCTGAATTCCATTCTCACGCTAATTATAAATTTAATATTATGCAGCTTGTGTTGTTAGAATTATTTAATTTTTTACAATTTTTTCCCGCAGGGTACCCTTATCTCAGTACATACTGCGCAAGTAAACACGCATTGCACGTACGTATTCGTCTGGTAACATTATTTACTTTTTTCATCGATATGCTTGCGCCCAAATGGACCTAAGCCCTATACGTAAATTTCCACGTTTTTTCCTCTCGCGACCTTCGTATCAACCCTGGGTATTGAACTTAGTATTTATATGCCATGTCGCCATCCGGATCGCTCTAATACGGGTTCATGTCCCAAGAGGTCTATTAAGAATTTCTTTCTTTGCCCTCCTCCCTCCCCTCATGTACCACAGAGATGTAGCATAGCAATGAAAATTGTTTTACTGTTAATTTTGTATGTTTATGCTTCCTGTTCAGCCTGATTTTGCAGACATCACGGTAGTTGTATTTAGTGATGATTAAAATGTCACACTCGTTCTAATTACTATAAAATTGAATGTATATGAATATAATTAAGTATGAGGAGCCCAATGTTCTACAAGCTATTTAGCTTCTATTGGGCTTCCTCGCCTGACTCTCTATCTATTACAAAAGTGAAGTCACTTAATATTACTTTGCTTTTGAACCTTTTTTTGTAGCTTTTCCTGCCTTGTAAATTGCGCAGTCTTAATAATAATAAATATATATTTTTCATTTTCTCTTTCTGTAATATTTATTTTATGTGGCAAAATGTAAGTAAATAAAAATAAATGGTTCAAGTTAAATTACTACAGAGCTAAAAAAAAGGCCCCTTTATATTTTGGCAATTTTTGAAAGAGCTGCAAAGTTACAGAGTTGTGCAACCCGGTTGTCCATTTCGTACATATGGATACGTTTCATCCAAAACAAAAATCTTAAAGTTCATGGAAATTCAGTCATGAACCGCTGTTTCCAAAGCACCCCTTATTTATTGTCTAGGAAAAATACAGCAATGATTTCCTGTTGAAATCAGTGATATTAAGTCTCTGTCCAGACTATATTAGTTAGCTATACATAGAAACACTTCTGAAGACAAAACCACAAAAATCGCGCCGATCTCACTGTTATTATGGATCCCTATCCGGTATGATTTTGTGGTGGCGCAAAGGCTATCCGGAACAGCTAGTATGAACATATCCTAATTTCTTCACTAGGGTTACTTTGACACAGCGCGTCTTGAATTGATAGAGTACAACATTGGAGTCCAGATCATCTGTCCAGGACCTGTCATGTCGGACGTATTCAAGAATGCTTTTACTAACGACATTAACAGGGTAATAGCGTTTTGTTATTAGAGAGCTTTAGATTCGGTGACGAGGCCGACTATGATAGCAAGTTTTCGCGTGTTCTCTAGAGATAGAAACCCCGGAATGCTCTATTGCGGAGCTTTTCTTCACAACAAACGTAGGTCCTCCTATTTCTATCTAGTTTATTGAAGGAATTAAAGCTCTTGCCCGATCGCTAAATGATATAATTTCTCGCATTTGATAACTTATTTTCGTCACTACGACATTGTCGCTAATCCGTAGTGAAATGGCGACGGCTATCGCGTTTTCCCCAGCTGGTTCACGCGTTCACTACTTTGTACTGGCACAATCTCGTTCTCGTAGTCGTCTTCGCCTTCAAATTTAGAGCTCTCTAATACAAGATGTTAAAAACATGTATATACACCTCATTAACTATCATTTTTATGTAGACTGTCTTACTTCTAGGCTGAAGGATAAAATTCATATACAGTTAATTAAAGTGTCTACTTAGTAAAGACAACAAGAGGAATGGGCCCAAATGTGCTCAATACAGAAGTGATGGTATTGAAAATCAACAGAGTTGTCCGGCGGGGTGCTAAGCCCCTCTCCCCCTCCCCCCACTTATAAGAACCGCTCATTAAAGGCCAATCGACCTGTAAACAAAAAAGACATCCCCTTTTAAGCCCCGCCCCCTCCCTTTTAGGGTATAAGTCACCCTCTAGCCTGCATCGAGATGAATTGGATGTTTTACGTCGTTTTAAAGCCAAAAAAAGCGAGTAAATTCAAAAAGTATTTGATTAGCACTACTATGTAGCTTATAACAACAGTCCGGAACAATAATTATTTTCCTAATCTATTCTGTTTAGCGAAGTATCATCAGACAAAATTTACCTCCGCATACAATATTATTTGTTTGTATTTCAGCCTCTTGATGCATTGGTATTGTCAAATGTTATGAAGAGTTTGCCATTAATGTCAACTGAACGCTGTGCAAAGTTGATGGCAGTAAGCATGGCAAACAATTTGGATGAAGTCTGGATAGCAAACCATTCAGCTCTTGTACTACCTTATTTAAGCCAGTACTTTCCAAACTTCTTCAGATGGTATGTTTGACTTTGTGTTTAGCGACAATAGGAAGCCTAAGCAATCAAGACGATGGTAGCAACGAGAACGTCAAAAAACATATATATGTATATATCTGTCTGGATTTCATGCAAGCTGCCTGTACTGAGTCTCTAGACGGTCAAGTCCAAGGAACCATTAGTCACCCTCCCCACCCATGAAGCTTATGACTAGTCAATCACTTCCCTCAAGCTCTGCTCTGCTCTGATCTGCTTGTAGTGTTATGATTATGAGTCACCGCATTGATTTGGCTGGCCTAGGCCACAGGAAGAATTCTCTGACTTTGCACTGCTTTCTGACATAAAACTCTAGTCAAAATGACAAAATCTCCCCTCCCTACCCCTCTGGTTTTCACGCAAAACAAGGAAGCCACCCACCCACGAATAAGCCTGGGCTCTCAGCTGACACCTAGCAAGACGGCAAGCTTCCTGGTTTTTTTGCGGCTACACTGGCTTGAACACGGGCGAAGCCCTTGTTCAAGCGAAAACTTAGCAGGCACCTTTTAGAAAAATCACACGGATATATATACGGCATTTAATAAGCAATAAACAGAACTGTACGTGCATCACCCGTCCTGGTACAGTCGAACCTTCACAACGGCCACTTTATTTTGTCCCGCGGCGGACTGTCCATACATTTACTCTTATTTAAACCCCTTTACAACGGCAACGGCCACTAACACATTTTCCCAACTGCCAAAATAACCTCTCGACAAAAGACAGTTTTTTTCAGCGGCTGATCAACCTCGTCCCCAGGGCTTTTCCCTTAAAAAATGGGTGGAGCGCGCCACCCATTTTTTAAGGGAAAAGCCCTGGGGACGAGGTTGGCGACTGATGAAAAAGTCAAGAATGGTCACGAATTGGTACGTTTATGATCAATCGCGCGGTAATCGTATTTTGATTTTGCTTCATTTATACTGCTGCAGTAAGCAAAATTGTCTACGATACTTATAGCGAATGTTGGGAACCTTGCTCGTTTTGTCACGTTAAAATATTGATTCGATTTCAAGACATAATTCAAAAGCTTTCTGTGCATTCTATCTATATACATTATATACCATTGGATTACCATGATTATGGGACACAGTAAGCATGAACTTAACACAAAAAAACGTATACTCTTTGAAAAAAAAATTGTCATGTAACACCCCTACCTCCGAATAACGGCCACTTTGATTTCTTCCTTCCCCAAGTACATTTCTTTGACGTCCACTGCATGACACTACTCGGCGACGTGAAACGTCCTAAAGCGACGTTTTATGGAGTACATGAACAGAAAACGACGAATTTTCCTCTCCTATTTTGAGCTTTGACAGGGAGTATAAGAATTCAATTCCTGGAAAATTCGTCTACACTTAGCAAATTGGGTGAGGCTAAATAAACGCCACCGAGTTTGCAAGAACCAATTTTAACCTCATCAACTCGAACAAGGACAGTTATCGGTCAGTAAAGGCGATTAGCCCTAATTCCAGACATGACATTTTAATCCACAATTTTACTTACTTTCTAATAGATTGTTAATAGTAAGCTTACAACATTGACCATATCATTTAGCCCTCCCTCGTATTTTCTGCACTTAGGAATTCGAAGAAGTCTTCGATGAAGGTGACAAGACAGGTGTTTGACCTTCCTGAAGACGAAGCCTGAATTATATATCAATTACGAGGGGTGAAGCGATTTAGTTTAACTGAGGATGGCTGGTATACCACTTCAAACCTTGTAGAGTGTCCATAAAAGCGTTCCTGTAAACAATTTAATTCCCATTTTGGCGATTAAAAATTCGATTGGTCAGTTTCATTCCGAAAAAATTCATTCTTGGTATATTGTATGAACGATCCTTGCTAGAGTGTGGATCGTGATGGGCTATGAGCAGTCTTTTTTTTTTTGAGTCCGTCGAGCGAAATGCTTTGCCGCTCGCGATCGAGGCGCGCGTGCACTCCCATCACTAAATCTTAAGAAAAACAAAGACCACTCGCTCGCAGTCTAGGATCGTGCATTGGACACCTGAATCTCGCTCGATTTTGCAAACTACAATCATGGCGGCCTGCTTATCTGGCCGAATTATTTTACGCGCGTGCGAGAAATTGGGCGAAGCCGCCATTCTCGCGTCTCTTCCCAATTCTCCTCACGCCCTCGCAGCTCCTCAGTCTGCCAATCTTTTGCTCGTGCTGATGATCCACCGACTGCTGAGGCTACAATCATAGAATTGAAACATGGAGTGGTTTCTGTGAACTTTGTGGCTCCAGTTTCCCCTACCTTGTGCTTCCGCCAGTGGCCTGCTATCAGTCGTCGGAAGAAGAGGGCAAGGCAGCGAAAAGGAGAGATAAGATTCGCTGTTTATTCCCACCTCTCAGTTTCCCTATTCGGGCCTGCCACGCGGGTTACTCCCAGCCCCTTGTTCGCTTTCTCCCCAGACTCCCTCACCACTCGGCGATCAGCAACCCCTCACAGGATTGGACCTAACTGTAAACAACTAAAGATCATAAAGGGCATTCCACCGAATAATTGACTTGTATTAGAGTGATTCCTTGACCATATCAATGCAAACTGCAAGAAAAGCAGTGTAATTATTACTCCTCAAAATCTTCTCTACCATTTTTTTACCATATGCGTTGCCTGAGAACAGAAAAAGTCCGCGATGGAATTCATTTATCGAATATTAGTCACCTTCGACATGTTTGGTTGGTGCACTTATCCACGTTTCATCCACCGAAAGAAAACTATCTTTATATTGGCTTTAGTTACATCGGCTCTAATAGTACTGACTCTGTTTACTTTTCCACGGGGAACACCAGTGATTTCAGAGATGTCTTTGTACGGTGCGAAAGACTCCGACTTCAGGCCTGTCCCTTACACAAGATTAGCTCCATGCGAGCGAAAACCTGAAGGGGATATCAACTGCCCTGACATTCGTAGCAATGGAACCACACGGCTTCGACAAGGTCAACTCGTCCTAACCAGAATTCTAAGAATCTTTGATCTTATAGCTAAAAAGCATGGCATAAGATACTGGTTGTACAGAGGGACTTTATTAGGCGCTGCACGTCATAATGGACACGTCCCTTTCGACAACGACATAGATATATGTATTCCTAAAGAAGACTATGAGAAGTTTGTTAAATACGGCGTCAAAGAACTTCCTGAGGATATATTTTTTCAAACGGAAGAAACGGACCGCCACTGGGAAATTCTACCTTTTAGCGGCTTGCTCGGAAAATTGCGGGACATGCGGAGTTGCTATGGCTGTGGCAGGGCTGGTAGCTGTAAACACAAAAATGGCTTACAATTAGACATGTTCGTTGTTGAAATGGACTCTAGTGGTAATTTCTTAGAACTATTCTCTCACTCAAATTTGTTTCGTCGAAGATATATTTACGGCCCTTATGTAAGAAAACCGAGCGATATTTTTCCATTGGCAGAATTGAATTTCGACGGCTTTCCTCTTCCAGCTCCGCGAGAGTGGAAGAAAATTTTGCACTCATTCTACGGCGATTTTATGGTGATACCAACAAATAAACCAGTCGGGCATTTAAATTCAGATCCGTTTCACAGTTGTGACGAGATGCAATGAGGCGTATACAGAAAGGATATACCATAAACTGCTGCTTGTAAATCCTTATAAGCCCTAGGATTATATATCTTGGTTAGGGGTTTTACGAGCGCTAATAAATGGAGGAGCTTACAATGACTTATAATAAGAAACTCTGAGGGAAAGCTGATCCTACCCGAAGCTAAGCCACTTCGAAACTGGAAGCTTCTCTTACAGCGGGGCCATGTTATGGAATAACTTGCCCAAAAGGTTCTTTTGAACGAAATATCAAGAAGGTAGCTGATATTAATATCGGATTCCCACACGGCAATCATGTAAAGCAGTTGTAATTAGTTTTAGCTTTACATACATACAGTGGCCGTAGATATATGTATTCCTAAAGCAGACTATGAGAAGTTTGTTAAATACGGCGTCAAATTTATTCGGCCAATATTTCGACTAGACAAAACTAGTCATCATCAGGGGCTACAAAAGCTAAGTGAGAATAGAGTAACTCGGTTGGTCGAAGTACTGGGCAAATACTGAACTTGTAAATTACCAACCCTTAGCTGTCAGATCAGCCTTGCCTTCAATTTTAACTGTTATTTTATATTGCTGATCCTGATCTACAGCAAGATACGGCTTTCCCTCGCCACTGTTCGGTCTAAAGTGGTACGGGCTTACAAACTGTGAGTTTAAAACCAGCAGCACGGTATGAAACTGCTGAAAAAAACAATAAATTTAAAATGAGTCCATTATTATAGCGTCATAGTATATTTTCACACAAGAAATTACAATAAGAAGGAAAGCAACAACGGCTATGAACATGTTGGAATGCAAAAAGGTGCTATTGATTGGTCCATGAGTTTAAAATACATTTTATCGCGTACACGGCCTTTCTGTAGGATTATGCATTCTAATACATTCTATATACAGTTGGGACCAGCGGTTGCTTTAGTCACTTTAGTGCCAGCAGTTACTTAAGTTCCAGGCCCTCGCTCCCGCCTTTAAGTTTAACAACTGTCATTCAAGGCTTAGCTAAACGTTCGAGCCGTTTCAAACTTTGCGCAACAACATCATGATGCAACAAGGTGTGCAAACGGACGCAAACTGTAACATCCAACAATGTTGGCAGCGTGGCTGGACTTGCAATTCGGAGACCCCTAGTTCAAGTCCCGCACTGACCGCTTGCTGGATTTGTGCCGTTCAAATACAGATCTGCCACGCTTGTAAATAGCCAGCTGGTTTGCTTCCGGCCAGTTGAGATTCTTAACCTTGTTAAGTGTGATTTGAAGTATTTGTTTCAGGCATTTCATTTTCTCGGCCCCACTAGCAGGGTAACTAGCAGAATTATTATTATTTTTGTTGGCCAACAATGCTGCGTCCATTTGCGTGTGTTTCAGACTGGCTAACACCATCATCCATGGACGCATTCGTGGCCTGGTAACAGGGGGCGTAGTAGGCCCCAGAAAAGCTGAATGGCAGACAACTGCGAATTAACACATAGTTTCACAAGCTATTAGACTTGCTAAGAATCAACAGAGAGTTAAAAATGAGCAAGATCATCTCATGGAATGAGACAGTATCAGAGCGTGTCTACGGACCTAGAAGTTTTTGGCGTAAAAGGGGGGATTCTATTTTTAAAATAATTAATTTTGTATTTCGCGTAGGGAAAGGGATGAACAAACTTACTGAGTTACTACTTGTTTTTATAAAGTTACCGGTATTAGAAGAAAATGTTTAAAGGGAAGGAACCGTGTCTAAGACAAATGCAAAGTTATTAACAACCTAAATACGTCTTGCAAAGAAATGGCTTTATTTCTAGTATACAGAGAAGTCTTTCTAGTTTTTCAACTAGCTAGTGCTAAAGCCGATGCTATTTCCGTCTAAAAATCACTTATTCCGTCTAAAATCACTTATTTCAATTGTTTACAAGTATCAAGAGGGCTTAAACTGAGTCATGTACTCATCGATTGTCGATTGTGTTCGTAAGAGCTTTGATTATAAAGTTATTTTCTGCCTGCCTTGTAATACGGCAGCTCATTTCTGTTGGAATTGTCGATACATCGGCACATGCATTTATAGGAGCTACGAATACAATAGCCGAAGTTGTAAACCTTCAAGCATTTGTAGAAAAATGCGTTGCACCAACGACAGCAATCGAAGGTTTGTTTGCAGACATACTTCTTTGGTGGTTTACCGTAATAATTACTCGATGCTGATCGGCATAAAATGGGATAATTTTCGTAGCTGAGGTAGTTGTGTATGTCCTAAAAAATAAAATAAAACAACTAACTAAATAAAATCGTATCTTAAAGGTCATTGGTCTACCGTTGAAGTTAGCAAAATACAAATATGTTGAGCGATATTGTCAAAGGAAAGCACACTAGTCAGGGTAATAAGACTGTCACAAAGATATAGGTATTTTCCTTGGTAAAATAAATTGATTTCGTGCTTTGCAAAGTTACTTCGATTTGACTGTAAAATTCGCATTTTGCTAACATTTCTCTAGATCTGTGAAAGCTAAAGTGAAGGCATTTTTGTTAAATTTCTTTTTTCCTCTCTGATTTCTTCATTTAAATATGGTATGTAGTACTGACTCAGTGTCTGGATAAAATGGAAACGAGGCCTTTGGTATGTGATTTTATCAACATTCTGTGTATATTAGGTACATTTCTTGATTCCGAGACAAATGCGTGGACGTTCGAATTCTTAGGGCGTAACCATTTAACTAAAGTCTTTAGTTAGAAGTTCGGAATTACTTTCAATTGATTTTAAAGTATTTTACAAATCGAAATTTAGAGTTTATCTCAAAGTTTGACGTCTTGCCAGTAGTTTTTTTTTTTTTTTACTTACCCCGAGTTTGTACGGAACTTGACCATGACGAAGTTTCTTGCATTCACCTCTACAATCACAGCCGTGTGGGTGCGGAAGGACGGGCCTTACTAGACTCTGTTGGGCTGGAGCTGGATTTGTCGAATTCTCAGGGGGTGGTGGAGTACTTGTCGAATTCTGCGCATCTCCTTGGGTAGCAATAGTAGTCAATGCCACAGCGACAAAGTAGGCAACCAAATAGCCGGACTTCATGTTCAATGGAAAGCCAACGGAGGGGACTGAGAATCTGTGCGTACCTCGTCAGCTCAAACTGCTGTCGTTGCTGGACTGACTGAATGTGTTTTGGGTGTGTAAAAACCTTTTATATCAAGAGAGCGGAAATCGAAACGGTCCACTCTTTGCATCTAGCGAATGATTTGTTAAGAACTTTAATTAAACTTCTTAATATTCATAATACGTAAATGTTTTAAGCTGTTAAAGTGTTATTACGATCACTCTCACGTAGCTCTTTCTGCTTCTTAGTTCGCTGGAATTTTTTCCTGTTTAGGTTAGTTTCGTTTGGCCTTTGTTCCCTCATCGGAACAGGCCTTTTTTGAAAGTACACTTGAAACTACAATGCTAAGAAACCGTGAACTTCCCGCAAATCGAGCATACGTACCACAAAACTCGACGCAGTTGAATGGATTTTTTTTATTTTTTCGCATTTATACTATGCTAAGAAAACTAATGAGTAATGAACTAAGTTCATTAACGAGCTCACTTCTATGAAAAATAAGAGTCATATTCTTGCATAACTTTCCCCGTTAAATGAATTGCAAGCTAGACATTTTTTTTAGACAATAAGATAGTATGCTGTTTTTACAATTACGTATACCTTAACGCTAAAAAGTGGAGGTTGCATACAATCTAGAAAGACACGTTTCTGTCCCCCGGCTGATAATTTTCTTTTGTCGTGTCATTTGCGTAAAACAAGCAAGTTTCTACCGTTTTTGTTATAATTAGTGAAAGGGTTTAATTATTATAATTGTTCTTAATTTGTCCAACTGCAGGCCGGATTGACGCCGGGGAGGATGGTCATCAAAACTCTTTCCTTTCAACGTATATACAATTGAGATGCATAGTCATGTCTATGTGAGTCTTTTTGACTACCTATATATTTAATTGCGCTAGACAAGTATGTCTCACGGACTGTAAAAACCACGAAACGGACTACAGTAAAATCACGTACATTTCAATCAATGAGGCGTTCACTTTCCTTTAAAACATATACAAGGGAGTCGGTTACATATAATTCATCTTTGAGTTTACTTAGTGATTTTTCATTGCCATTTATAATTGATGAACTGTAGTTTGGTTAGAATCAACTTTCTTGGCAAAGGCATTAAACAGATATTGTGTCCCGTCCCGTAATTAAATGTTATCGAAACTAACCATCATTTGGTACGATTTCTATAGCGGAAGGCAGGGATAAGGACAATTTTCCGGTTTGGCTAAGGCGTGAATGCGTTCTCAATTTGTAATAAAACTGTCTCTGAGCATAAAGCGAATGAGTCAATTCAATATCTTATCAGCATAGTATCATGCTTTTGAATTATATTGAATTTACTTACGAATTGCTTCCTTTCTTGAATTCAAATAAGTCTAACGGTCTTTTCAGTTTGCTTGCATGAGTATTATAATTATGATTATAATTATTAATATTGTTTGTTATCTTTCACTTGATAGCCTTTGGATATGAAGGCTAGTCAACGTGAAGTTTAATAGAAGTTGTGAAACGTTGTTAGTGACCGTAAAAAATTTTACGCCAAGAAAAACTAAAAATACATATTAATGCAGAAAAGAATGTCTTCGAAACAAGGTCACATGACTGCCACTGTGACTTCAATTTTGTACAACTACTTAAACCTTTTGCGATCTGTGTAAGACTTTATCTGGAGTAGGAAATTATCTTGATCGCTTTTGTTTTTCCTCTCTAGTTATTGTTTGACGTTGAGTCGATCGGAGTTTTAAATTGCGAGATAGGAGTTTTATATAATCGGCGTAAGATAGGGTTTTGTAATTTCTGATAATACACAAAAATAGACGACACAGCTAAGAAAATGAGATAGTTTTTAAGGATTTGGAGCAATAAAATAGATAACAATCTTTAAAGAAGTTGAAGTGATAAGATTTGATCCTCCAGTTCAGGGAACGACCCAAATTAACAC